CAGGGAGGAAGGAGGAAAGCATAATTAATTACAACTGCTCAGATGAGCTGCCAGATTCGGAGGAGTCAAGAAGGAAGATTGTGTGTTGTTCAGCTGTCTTTAGCTGTGTTCCTCCGAAGCGATGGCAGCTCTGGGAACTAACTTTCCAGTTGAAGGATTTGAGCGTTCTTTCTCTTTCTACAAGATCCAGTCTTAGCTTATCGAGCAGTGAATTCCTTTCTTACCCCACTCACCTATTCCCGGGAGCAAAAAGGAAGTCAGTATTTGCTTTTCCAGCAAGGTCACGGATCACCTGACCAACTCCTTTAACAGCTGCGAAACAGACGCGGCTGTGCTGAAGGCGCGAGAGTGATGGGCTCCGGCCCTGCAGCCCAAAGCTGGCTTTCTGGGAAGGAGACGAGTCCTCCCTGCTGTGGGCTGTGCAGGGGAATGATGCCAGGGAAGGTAATGTGGGCACAGCGTTCCTCCCGACTGTTTTCTTCGTGAAGCTCCAGATTCAGCTGCTGCAATGCAGGTGAAAATGACAGACACTTGCAAAAAACGTGGGAATGGAGTTAGTGAGATTGTGTTAATGTGTCGTTTATTGAGCAGGAGTTATCTCTTTGTTTCTCCGGTGGGCAAGAAGTGAGCCCGCTGGAGAACTCAGTTAGCAGCATCTTTCTCAGTACTTCTCACTTCCCCTGGTGTCCCAGCTTCGGCCCTCTCAATGTTTAGAAGCAGCAGTCAGACGCCTCCTGCTTCTTAGCACAGAGAATGTTTATGCTCGAAAGGCTGGGGTCCTGGGATGGGGAAACAGGAAGCTCTCATCATCTTGGCACGATCAGTCCGAGGTACGGGTGATTTTTTTTCCCTCTTTTGGAAAGAGTGCTTTGTCTTTCAAGGGACTGGCAGTGTTGTTGTTTGGTGTACTACCTTGCTAAATACTTGACTTTGTAAGGTTGAATTCTCCAAGAATTCTCGTGGCAATGAGGCTGAGACTTGAGCCAAGCTGTCTTTTCAAGGAAATCCAAGGTGCTATTTATTTTGGCATGCAGCCTGCTCTGGGATGAAATACCACATTTTTATTATTGCAGAATAAAAAGAGGGTTGAAGAGAACAAAAGTACAGACCAGGTTTGTTTCAAGACGAAGTAAGGGAAGGTCTCTTTATATTTGGATTTGAGGTTAGAAATGAGCTTGAAAATGGCATCATAAAAGGAGTAAGTGTGGAGAGGAGAGAATGTGAATAAATGTTGCAGGAGTGGAGCTGACCTGGGGAAACCCATGCTCCCGGGTACTGAGGGTGGACCCGGCTGGAGCCGTTTCCAGCCTGGCCTGGGAGTTGCACGTGAACTATCATCACTGTCTGCCAAGTGACCACTTCTTTGCTGGATTTTAAATGGTCAGCCTTGGTCCTCACCTCCTCACTGCCCCATAGGCTTGGAAAGGCACAGGGGAATGATGGAGTCACACAAGCTATCCTGCTCCTAATTAACTGGGTCACTTTGGATGGGCCACATGGACTCTTTGTGCCTTAATTTCCTCATTTGTAACTTGGACATGCTCCCGTTTCCTAGGATTGCTTGTATGAGGGTGAAATGAGAAATTATACCCAGTGGCCGATTGCCAGTGTAAGTGCTTAGCTCATGTTAATTTCTTTCTGTGGGTGTTATTTGAAGACAGACAATCTTGTTCCTTTTGTTTTGTTCATTTAAGAACCATGGACTTAAGTGTCTGCCATGAGTTAGACACGGGGAGTTGGGGGTGACACGGGAACGAGACTTGCAAGAATTCTGACCTTCACGAGCTTACAGACTAGTAGGGGAGAAGAGCTAGAGAGAAAGCCAGCTATGTATGCCCCAAAACATCTAGCATATGGTGAGCTATGGAGAGAGGTTGGTCCCTAACTCCACCACGCCGGCATAGAACAAAAACAAATGAAAAGTAACATGATAACACGAGGTATTTAAAGGTCCTGAACACTGGGGATACAACTTAACAGAACAGGTAAGAAATGGCTTTATGGTCGGGCATAGTGGCTCACTCCTGTAATCCCAGCACTTTGGGAGGCTGAGGCGGGTGGATCACCTGAGGTCAAGAGCTCGAGACTAGCCTGGCCAACATGGTGAAACCCCATTTCTACTAAAAATACAAAATTAGCTGGGCATGGTGGCGCTTGCCTGTAATCCCAGCTACTCGGGAGGTTGAGGCAGGAAAATTGCTTGAACCCGGAGGTAGAGGTTGCAATAAGCTGAGATTGCACCATTGCACCCCAGCCTGGGTGACAGTGAGACTCCATCTAAAAAAAAAGAAATGGCTTTATGCCAAAACTTTAAATGCCCCAGAGAGTTGTAAAATTCCATTTTAAAAGGGAACTATGTCCCATAACGCTATTTTCATATTCTGTTGTATAGCAAACATGATAGCATGCATGTGTTGGTGTGGCAGTTATTTTTTCACCTAATCTAACCACATCGAGCATCTGCCCACTGGAAGGAAACTCTTAGCTAAGCTCCACGATGTCTGCTGTTAGGACCATGGAGGAAAGTGGAGAAGGCTGAGGGCGGAGGTTGGGGCTAGAAGTGGTGACTTGTGCACATGACAGAGCCCTCCTTCCTTCCTGTATTATGAGCACTTTAGAGTGAAAAGTTAACGAGCCCTCTCCTTTGAGAGTTGGGGTGTCAGCTCCACTTCATTTCTATAGCCTTGAAATGATTAATTTTAGTGCAAACTAGTCTAGGAGAAATCGTAGAGGTCTCTACAGAGTTCTCTTTAATGAAATTTGACCTAATGTGTGCAGAATAATTCTTTAAAGTCATGTGATCCGATACAGGACGGGCTGAATTCCCAATTCTAACCAAAGGCTGGGCGTGCTATTGAAGACCCTGGGCTGATAATGAGAATCTGTGTAGCCAAAAGTCCAGCTTTACCCTCTGGTGGCCCCCTCCTCTGTAGTTAGGAGCTGTGTTGCTTGGTGTCCAGGCTTGGAGAAGCAGAGCTCTCCTTTGGCCCAGGAGGTTTTGCAAGAGAGCAGTTGTCCTCTAAGCCCAGAGGCTTTCTGTGTATACTGCGGGAGAGGCAGAGAAGCACCAGTCAGAAGCATTTCCCCTCACAAGGGGAGCTAGGGATCGGTCACAGTGTCAGGGAACCGGGCTGACTTACGGGGTGGACAAAGGTTTGCAAATCACTTTTCTTCCCAATCCAGGCTTGGAATTGGCTAGACCCGGGGGCAAATCCTGTTGCAACACTTGCTTATGTGACATGAGCAGCCCTGCCAACTCTCTCAGCCTCAGTCTCTCTCCCTGAAAAACAGGAATAATAATAATCCACTTTGCGTGAAGATTGCATGAGATAATTCATGAATGCTTGTACTCCCAGCTACGCCTGTTGCTCAGTAATGTTACAGGGGTGAGAGGGAGGGGGAGCGGGAGCGGGAGAGGCTTCGATGGTGGAGATGAAGGTCCAAGCTTAGGGTCTGCCACTTCGCTCTTTTCTTCTGCAAGCTTCCCCTGCTGCTGCCTCCTGTGTGCCGGCATCGCCTGCTGCAGACTGCAGAGCTGGGGTGGCGAGAGAGGCAGCAGCGTCCTCTGCCTGGGAGCGTTCTCTTTGTAACAAAGGCCAGCCTCCCTCACCCCAGGTTAGAAGCTTCCACATCTCTCCGCTGTCTGCCTCCTTGGCGGCCACTCTTAGCCTCTGCAGGACCATCTACGCTCTCAGCTCCCTTGTCTCTAACTCCTCTAGCTCTTTGCTTCCCCAGGGCAGCCCCGTAGAATGTGCTAGTGCACTGCTTGCTGCCCCGGAGGTACACAAGGTACTCAGTGTGCCAATCCTTCTGCAAGGAGTGTCTCTGCTTCTAGAAAACATGCCTGCCCTTTGGGGCTCCATCCGCCTGTACAGGGCAAGGCCCCGCTGGCAGCTGCTTGGCACACGGGCTGGAGGGGATGGGCAGAAGCAGCACTCGCAGGAAGAAGTGATGCTGAACTTCCTGGTGGGCAAACTTTGGCATTTCCCTCTTATTTGACAGGCTCACATTTTCCAGTCCTCTTCTCGTTACTTGTTTGTCCCCGTTTCCATCCTTGTTTTCTGGGGGCCACCCATCATCCTTTTCTTTCGCTCTGTTTCTCCCAGTTCTTCCCTCATCCCTGGTTCACTTTCCCGGTCTGGAGATCGTTGTCAAGCACATTGGGATTCCTAAAGCAACCCAGCTTCCACTGCGGCGGTGTCACAGATAATTCACTATTCTGATGTGTGTGGCATTCCCATCATAAAAAGCCAATTTCCTGGGTGATTTACTGTGATGGAGGCAGGAGCTAGGATGTTTACCATTTGAAGAAAGATTCCTGGGGATGGATTAAAACTTTGGGGAGAATTTATGGTCAAACCTCGAGGCACACTACTTCAGAGCCAGGGCAATAGTCTGCTAGAATAGTTACCCATGTCTTCGGGCCACCCAGGTTGAACTTCCGCATGTTCCGCCCATGGTTAGAAATCACCTCGAAGTATCAGCTCCCTGTCAGTACTTGCAATTATCTCGTCTCTGTCTTCTGTCTGATTGACATGTCACATATCATTTACAGGTACCCTGATTCCAGTTTTTTCACAAAATGGACTGTAAGTCTCTTCCCAGGAGGCAGATAGGTAGATTTCAACTCTTGAGATTATAGAAAGAGCCCTGTCCTGGTATCAGAAGCCTGGGTCTGATACTAGCACCTTCACGAATATTCTGAGAGACCTAAGAGCAATGAACTCCCCAGCCTCAGTTTCCTCATCTACCAAGTGAGACGACTGGACCAAATACTTCCTTTCGTGTCAACTATTGCTAATATTCCATGAAGAAACACTCAGCATTGGGCTCTAGAAATGTGTGCAGGTTTTTAATCTTCCTCCTTGGAAGGGCTGTGGGCTCATGGGCACCCTGGGAGAAAGGCAGGAATGAGTGATACTTTCTTTAGTGCTGTGTTTCCCCAGTACTTATTTGAACTCTAATGAGGCTTACCACTTCTATACCCTCCTTTCTTTCAGAACTCTCCAACAAGTTTTACAGACTCATCGGATGAAGAGTACCTGAGACACTGAGGGTCAGCGCTCCAAAGATGGAGAAGACAGATGGTAGGCAGGCTGCTTTGTAGGGCCTGGTTTAAGATAAGCACTTGGGCTGGGAAAGAATATTGCCATAAATCCTGGAAATAGCCTAGGAAAGGCCTGCAGGAGATGTCCCCGAAACAGGCAGTGCTGGTAGGCTCAAAGCATGTATTTCAGATTTCATATATCCTCTAGGCAAGGAAAGAAACACAATATGGTGAAAGAGCCTCCATTCATACTAAGTGATTCTACAAGTCATTTAATGTCTTTGATCCTCAATCCTCCCATGTATCAGTTAGCTTCACTGTGTAACAAACAGCCCTACAATTTAGTGACTTAAAGACATTAATTATTTCTCAGAAGATTGTGTGGGTTAGCAGGGCCATTATTCTGGTCTAGGCTGGTGTGGCTGATCTTTTCTGGGTTCATTCATATGTCCATGGGCTTCCGGGTTACTTGGCTGGGCCTGGACGGCTTACAATGGTCACATTCACATACTTGGGGTGTCAGTAATGACTTGGCCATGTGACACTCATCATCCAGGAGGTTGAGTGGGGCTTGTTCACATGTTGGCAGAAGAGTTCAAGCACAACACAAGAACAGACTGACTCCAAGGTGCAGATAATGTTCCAGTCTCTGCATATGTCACATTGCTGTTGACCCAGTGGCCAACATAAGTCATAAGACCACATCTAGCATCAGTGCAGTAAGGGAGTACCCAAGGGTCAGATATTACTGTGGCTATCTTTGCGAACAGTTGACCACACCTTATCTATAAACAGGTATTAATACTATTCCATAGGGTTGGTAAAGAACTAGATGACATAGGCTGGGCGCAGTGGCTCATGCCTATAATCTCAGCACTTTGGGAGGTTGAGGCGGGCAGATCACAAGGTCAGGAGTTCAAGACCAGCCTGGCCAATATAGTGAAACCCCGTCTCTACTAAAAATATAAAAATTATCCAGGGTGGTGGCGCATGCCTGTAGTCCCAGATACTCGGGAGACTAAGGTAGGGGTATCACTTGAACCTGGGAGGTGGAGTTTGCAGTGAGCCAAGAGCGCACCACTGCACTCCAGCCTGGACAATAGAGCAAGATTCCATCTCAAAAAAAAAAAAAAAGAAAGAACTAAATGACATAATGCATGGAAAGTAATTGACTAACAACTACCTAGCACAATGAATGTCTGAATGTTCCCCTCTTCCTGTCTCCAGGAAACTTGCTGAAGGCCAGAGTCTAGACCCCAATCTCCTGACTTCTAATGAAATGTTTTTTTCTTTTTTTGTTTTGAATTGGAGTCTCACTCTATTGTCGCGCCAGGCTGGAGTGCAGTGGCACGATCTTGGCTCACTGCAACCTCTGCCTCCCAGGTTCAAGCAATTCTCCTGCCTCAGCCTCCTAAGTATCTTGGACTACAGGTGCCCACCACCGCACCCGCTTAATTTTTGTATTTTCAGTAGAGATGGGGTTTCACCATATTGGTCAAGCTGGTCTCAAACTCCTGACCTTGTGATCTACCCGCCTCAGCCTCCCGAAGTGCTGGGATTACAGGCGTGAGCCACTGTGCCTGGCCATGAAATGTTTTTTCTAGATCACCAAATATCAGGAAGCAGAGAGGCTCTAATTCCCCTTGAATCACACGGCCCTTCACCAGCACAGGACTTAGGGACCCGATGTCAGCTCTCGCCCTGCCTCTTCTCTTCTTCCAAATGCAGTTCCCGTATATTTCAATAGTCGCCTGTCTCCCCAGAGAGCTGCCTTTTCAGTGCATCCCTGGCAGTGGTCCCACAGAATACCCGCTCATCCCCTCAATGCCCTGGGGGCCCGTCACCCCAGCTGCCTCTCAGTCCCTGCTCAGCTCCCTGCGGAGGACTGCTGTCCACGTGATCGCCCATATGAGCTCAAGAAAGGCTCCTTCCTTTCAGCCACGTGGATCTTCTAGAACAGGGACAAGCTTTCCCAGAGGTGAAGGCTTCCCTCCCTGTCTTGGCCTTTGGAAGAGTTTCATTTCACTTGCCTTCTTTCCGGCTTTATTTTCAGCCACTTTCTCTCCAGTTTCTGTTTTTCCCTTTACTTCAGAGACTGAATATAGGCTTTTGAACTTCTCTTTCTCACTTTAAATGCCTCTTGTTGGTTCACACATCTGCTTGACTTCGCTTGTCCCTTCAGATAATTACCGTGATTCTCCTTCGTTACTTTATCCCCTTCAAGGCCCCCTTTCTCCTGTCTGTGTGTAACTCTTGGAACGGTGTTTGTAGGTCCTATACAAGCGTCTAGTGATCTGGTGTACTTTTAAGCAAGACTCTGTAGGGAATTCCAGGTAGTCCTGAGCCTCCTCTGTCTTTCTTTTTTCTTCTTCCCAGACTCATTTTCACCCTTTCTCCAGAACTATTTTCCTGGACTCTCATTCCCTCTTGAGCTGTAGTTCTAACACAGGAGACAGCACGTGCTCGGTGAATCCTCCCCTGCCGCATTCGGAACCAGCCCACGCTTGCCACTAGGGTCCTTCATTGAGTGCCTGCTCGGGGCTGTGTTCTCCAGTGCATTCGTGCTGATAATGACAACTCTGTAAGTTAGGTGTTATTATCTCCACTTTACAAATGGAGAAGTTGAGGCAGAGGGAAATGAAACAATTCACCCAGAATCACCCAAGTAGGAGGTGATAGCCAGGATACAAATGCAGCCGGTTTGGCCATGTGTTGGGTTATTTGATCTGAATTTCATTTTAAACAGAGACAGGTCCTCCCAACTGATTCTCACCCTGGCCCAATGCCTGGAATTCTGAGCTCCCTCATACCTGTCACCAGGTAGGATGATAGGAGCAGAGCTGCATGTGAGCGTGGTCTCTCAGCGAATCAGTTCCAACTCCCTCATCAAAGCCCAGCATTCCTCTTGTGCTAGGAGAAGGAGAAGGAATGCAGAGTGGCAGGGGGCAGGCAGGGCAGCATGATGGATCACCGTGTGTGTGTGTGTGTCTTTGTGTGTGTGTGTGTGCGCGCGCGCACTAGCTTGGGAAAGCACCTATTCTATTAAACTTGCTATTAAACCTGTCATCCTTTGTGGCTGCTCAGCCTCACTTTCCCTCCTCTCCCTGTGGAAGATTCTGCCTTTGAATCTGCTGTTTCTTATTTGAGGTTATGATTGTATTTGTGCTCTGGACCTGCGCCCAGAGGCCATTGGGCAAATCGGTGCATTTCTAGTGAATTGAGGCAATAAGCAGATAAATAATGCAGCCTCTCCTTTAGGAGAGCTCTTTTCTTGGTCATAAATCTGCTCTCTACTTAACTTTAGATAAATATCTCTTCTCTGTTTGGCCTGTCCTTATAACCCAGGGGGCTGTTGAGTGGACCAGTAGATCTGAGAGTATAGCCATGCACAACTTGGTAAACTAACAGAGAGCAATACAAGATATTGCTCATTTAATGAATCTGCCAGTGTGTTTCTCTGAGGGGAGATGGAAGGGTCCGGGGAGCAAGTTGGTTAAAAAAAATTGTGTGGTTGAATGGGAGCTTATTTGGAGTTGTTTGGGTACTAGAGGAACATTTATTCCTTTTCTGCCTGAAGTCCAGGTATCTGCCAGAGAAGCTCTGGAAGCCAACGGAGAGCATGCTTTGGGTCAGCACCAATGCTTGCTCTCTTCTCTCCTGCAGTTGTGACCTAACTGCCTGCAGGCCTGTGGCTTTACTTGGCTTTGATGGGTGCTGGACTCAATGGTGTTCGTGTTCATGGTTCAGCCTTCTTGTGTCTAGTTGGTGTCATTTCATTCTTTGGAGATAACGGCACTTCCCTAAGCACAGAGGGCCACGTGGCAAGCATGTGGCATGGGGCAGAAGAAAGAGAGATAAGGCAGGCAAGCAGGAAGAGCTCAGCCCCAATCTGTCATTACAGACTGCCATGCTATGAGGAAGCCCAAGCAGCCCCACAGAGAGGTCAAGTGGAGGGAGGGAAGGAAATGCCTAGCCAGCCCCAAGTAGTTCCACCCATCCTAGAAGGTGGACTTCTTACATGGTAGCTGGCTTCCCACTGAGTGAGCCAGCTTAGGAAAAAGCCATCTGAAAATGTGCCCCAGGAAATGCTGTCATTTGCCACTTTGCCTAACCTGTCCCTTTCCCTCCATTACCTTGAGCTCCTCCCACCTTGACCATGTCAGCCGCCTCCCGGCTGATCTTGGGGCCTCTGGTTTGCCTTTTTCTGAATCAGCAAGATGCTCTTTTTGAAATCACATTCAACCAAGTCACTCCCTTGTTTAAAACCCTTTTGTGACTCCCATGACCTAGAGAGTAAAGTCAAAGCTTGTTAGTGTGCATACAATTTGTTCCATGATCTGGCTGTTGCTGTTCTTTCCAATCTTATCTCTCTCTATCATGTTTTAAGTGCTGGCCATATCAGCTGCATTTATAGAACTTTGAAATACTGTGTAATTTCACCGTCTGTCCCTTTGCACATTCTCTGTGGAGAGCTAGAATGTCTGTCTTGGCTGTCTATTGCTGCATAACGAACCATCCCAAAACTTGACGACTTAACACAATAATTTATTATTAACCCAGGCTCAGTTCAGTGATTCTCACTTGGGGTCTCTCCTGTAGCTGAAGTCAGATGATGGCTGAGGACTTTTTTACTCATGCGTGGCATCCAGGCTAGGATGACTAGAACTGCTTGGGGCTGGTTAGGCATTTCCTTCCCTCTCTCTACTTGACCTCTCTGTGGGGCTGTTTGGGCTTCCTCACAGCATGGCAGTCTCAGGGAGGGTGGACTTCTTACATGGCAGCTGGCTTCCCAATGAGTGTGAATTCTAATAGACCCAGGAGAAAGCTATGGGGCTTCTTATGGTCTAGCCTTCAGGATCTCTGAGCATCTGCCATATTCTTTTGGTTAAAGCAGTCCCAGGCCAGCCCAGATTCAAAGGCCTGGAAATGTAGACTCCACGTTTAAATATAAGATTATCTTGCTTGTCCAAAGTGGGTAGGAATTGGTGGTGGTCATCTTGAAGATAAATTGGCACAATGTTTTTCACTCTCTTGTTCTCCTGGAAAGTCCCTGTTTGTTCATTTGTCACCCAGTTGTATATCACTTTTGTGTGAAGTCATCCCTCTCCTACCTAGGAAAAATTGGTTCCCAAGTCCAAGAAAATACTTCTGGAGAAATTAGCAAAATAAGTCAGGGAAGAAGCCTGTACCAAGCGCATGCATCTGTTACTATCCTTATCTCACTGCATTGTGTTTGTTCGTGTCTCTTCTGCTTCACCACAAATCCTGTGAAGGCAGAGTCTAAACCTGACTCATTTTGGTGTCCTTGGGATCTAGCTTAGCACATAGGTGCTCAATAAATGGATGGTTGAGGTAAGTGAATTGAATCACAGCTATTTTGTCATTTTGAACCTAGGGCCTACTACCCTTAAAACCGAGCAATCAGCCAGTTACAACATGTTTGTGGAGACCCAGCAGTGAGTCATATAAGTCAGTTTCCATTGTGGGACTTTTGTTGTCTATATTTTGGGCTTCCAAAAAGATAAACTGAGTATTTACCATGTGTGAGGCATTGTGCCAAGCACTTTATTATGAATTAACTAGTTCTCACAATCATCTTATTTTACTTATTATGATTCCCACTTTACATATGATGAGACACAGCAAGGCTAAGTAACTTCCCCAAGATCACACAGCAGAGATCTAAACCAGATCCAGAATCTGTATTCAGAACCTCTGTTTTCTTCGTTCGTGTTCTCCGCTGAGCTCAATATTTCAGAGCCTGTTTAGCAGAATGTCCCAGAGGTAATTAGGGTGTCACATGAGGATCATTGAAGAAACAAAGCCTAACCTGAAGAAGAGATTACTTGGCAACAAGCCCCTATGGATGCAAATAGTCAAAGGACAGACTTATTCCCAGTGTCTTCTGTTGGAGTTAACAGGTAGACACTGCAGGAGCTGGAACCTTGGTGTGATGGAGAACTTTCTCATCATGATGGCCTCCCAGGGTCTGGGTTGCCCTGAAAAGTCAAGTTCCATCTTCTTGGAGGATGAATACCAATGTCCCTTTTGATATCAGTTAGCCCTTTTACCTTACCACGTTTTATCCAGCCTGTGAAAATGCAGTATTTTTGTTTGTTTCTCTCTTTTTTCATTGAGTTTCTGGCCAAAGGAGGTATTTTCTTACTTGGCATGGGTTTTTGAAAGTGGATTTCGTGTTTGCTAAGCACTAGGCAAGTTTTCAGATGCAAAGAGCGTAGGCCGGGCCTGATTACTTGCCCCAGTTCTCTCTGATCTGTGTGTACCTGAGGTACAGGCAGTCTGCACAAGCTTAAATAATGTAAAAGGCATAACTCACTGATACCTCCGGCTTCCGCGGGATTTACTACTACCAATTTGAGTCATGGAAGTTAGTTGTTTTTTGCAGATTTCTTTTTTATTGCTGATTCACTTGTGTATCTCACCCTTTAAAACCTTCCATATCCATAATTGCCAGTTAGTACCCCGATCTGGCAAATGCCTGGCCACTCCAGTTCAGCAATTAGATGATTCAAACCCAGAAAAGCAGTATGAGACCATTTTGTTTTGCCGGTCTGCAGACAGATTCCCCAGTAGTAACCGAGATGACATACTGCAAATTGGAAACCATTCCCTGTCCCTGTTTCCTTGCAGACATTGGCTAAGTACACATTGATTTAATAAGATGATTTCCCAATACAGCCAAAAAGACTGAGCATCTCAGCATAACTTAGAAGCCAGAACATTTAGGAGAAGTCTCATGTGGTAGTGTTAAGTTAAAATCAGAGATATTAGGCCTCATCGACCTGTAATTCTTAATTAACTTTGTGCTTTTTTCTTTTTTTTTAAACTTGTCTTATGTCTCCCAGCCAAAGACCAGTCCTCTCAGGGGGATGAAGAGAAAGAGCCTCCGAAGAGCCACCCTTACTCTGTGGAGACCCCCTATGGTTTTCATTTAGACCTGGACTTCCTCAAGTATGTGGATGACATCGAGAAGGGAAACACCATCAAAAGAATTCCTATCCATAGAAGGGCCAAGCAGGCCAAGTTTAGCACTTTGCCCCGAAACTTCAGCCTTCCTGACAGTGGGGCTCGCCCCTCTGCGGCCCCGCCCCCCAACAAATGCTCCCCAGTGGTGCCAAAGACGGCATCGTGTGGGATACAGGAACAACCCCAGTCACTGCCTCTTGGTAATGACCCCCAGGCCTCAACCAGCGCGAGCGAGGTGAGCTACCACAGGAGGGCCCTGTTGGCAGAGGCCACCAGGCAGTTGGAGGCTGCTGAACCAGAGGACATCGAGCTCACCCCTGGGAGTGGACGGCCCCAGCTGTTGAGAGCCTCCAGCATGCCCGCCACGCTGCTGCACAGCAGGGCTTCTGAGGAGCCAGGCCTCAGCCCAGGGCCCCCCGCCCCTCCTCCCCTCCCTCCCCTTCAGGGTGAAGGCAGTGTCTGCCATGGCACCTTTGGTCCCACAGAAGGATTGGCAGGTTTCCAGAGCTCTAGCCCACAAGCACCAACTTGGATTCCAGAGCTGGTCCAGAAGGGAGCGGAGCCTCCAGGGGGCATGGTGAAGGCTCCAAATCACCTCCCTCTCCCAGGCTCTTCTTCCTCATTCCAGAACGCACTTGTAGTTCTAGAGGATGAGGAAGATGAACACAAAGCCAGAGAAGCAGAGGGGCTGTTCACCCCCGGCTCCCCCACACCAAGCCCTCCGCCTCTGCCGTCACCCATCCCTGAGAATGAGCTCCTCCTGGAAGAAATCGAGCTCAACATCAGCGAGATTCCACCCCCGCCCCCTGTGGAGGTGGACGTGAGAAGCATTGGCATCAGGGTAACGGAGGAAAGCCTGGGCCTTGCCAGAGTGGAGCCGGGCAGCATCTCCGTCCTGAAACAGCAGGTCTCGGCCCTGGAGGGAGAGTTGTCTGGGAGAGCCGAGGAACTGGCACAGGTCAGAGCTGCCCTCCAGCAGCAGGAAGAGGAAATCAAGGCTAGGGAGCAAAGAATTCGAGAGCTGGAGTGCACCGTAGCCCAGCTGGAAGGACAGCTTCACCAAGAGAACGCCAAAGACGCTCAGGGCCAGGCGGACGCCATGGTGAACACTGACCCTGTCCGTGGACTCTTGACCAGGGACTTGTGTGACAAGAGCATTGAGGTCAACCTTCTAGGCAGCATGGAGTCTGAAAGCTGGGGGCACCGAGGAGAGGACAATGGCTTCCTGTGGGGGCCAGGCAGTCACAAACAAGGGGACCAGAGCCCAGCAGGACATGTGCTTCCACCCCCACTGTCACTGCCACAGGGACCCGAGCAGGTCCTCACCCCCTCTGTACATAGCTTCCTCTCCACTGAACTCAGGATTGAGGAAGCAGACTCTGAGCAGGAAGGAGGCCCTCAGGGAGAAGCCAGGGGACCAGGGGGCTCTCCGTGGGGCAGCGACAGAAAGACTCCCCCAGCAGGGAGGGAAGAGTCCAGTTCCGAGCTCCCAGGGAAGGAGCACTCGGGAAGGCCACCGAGCTCGCCAACAGATGCCACTATTGGGCAGTACGTGAAGAAGATCCAGGAGCTCCTGCAGGAGCAGTGGAACTGCCTGGAGCACGGGTACCCTGAGCTGGCCAGCGCCATCAAGCAGCCGGCCTCCAAGCTCAGCAGCATCCAGAGCCAGCTGCTGAGCTCCCTCAACCTTCTGCTGTCTGCCTACTCGGCCCAGGCTCCCCAACCCAAGGAGCCCCCGGCCTCCTCCTCCTCCCCGCCGATTGGTAAATACAGCCAACACAGGGGCCTGAGACAGGGAACCATTTCTCTTTCACATAATGAGGCAGAGGGAACAAGGTTTTCAATTACATGAATGTATTTTTAAAAAGATTTTAGCAGTCGGGCACAGTGGCTCACACCTGTAATCCCAGCATTTTGGGAAGCTGAGGTGGGTGGATCACCTGAGGTCAGGAGTTCAAGGCCAGCCTGGTTAACATGGTGAAACCCCATCTCTACTAAAAATACAAAAATTAGCCGGCTGTGGTGGCGGGCGCCTGTAATCCCAGCTACTTGGGAAGCTGAGGCAGGAGAATCGCTTGAACCCTGGAGGTGGAGGCTGCAGTGAGCCGAGATTGTACCACTGCACTCCAGCCTGGGCAACAGGGCAAGACTCCATCTCAAAAAAAAAATAAATAAATAAAATAAAAAGAGTTTAGCACCTCCGGGAACCCAGTGGAATAAAAACTGATGTGTGCAACAGTGGAGGCTCAGGACCTCTACTCTTACCTTTGCTCTAAGGTAGAGTATGACTGTGGGACCACTGCCTACAGCTATATGGATAGCAAGGGGCACGAAGATGCCAGCTAGGGAGGGCAAATGGGAGTTGAAATCCAGCCCACACTCCATTTGCCAAGCCTTGCGCTGCAGCACTGCCTTCACCCAGAGGGGCTGTTCTCAATTGCACTGTGCAAAGACAGTGTGTGGGGCCAAGACTCGCTCTGCCGTGTGGGCTCCAAACCTCGGCCTCCCTTCGGTTTCCTTTTGCATTCTGTGTTTCTCTCTGGTTCTTACACAGTAGAGGTTTTTTCTAGCCTGGTTTTGGAGGAACATTATATTGATATCTGGTATAGTTCACTGAATATTTTCTCAGCATGTGTGTGTGTGTGTGTGTGTGTGTATACGTGTGTGTACGTGTACGTGCGTGTGTGTGTACAGGGGCAGGTGGCTGAGTGCTGCTCACATATGGAAATGGGCCCTTTGGCTGAGCAGCACTTCCTCTTGTAACAGATCAAACCCTCTTCACTGCTGGGTAAAGTGGAACCACATTTTGCTTTGCCAGGCATGCGAGACCGCTTCCTGCCACAAATCACGGTTCAGCTGCTTTCTCAGTGTTTCAGCGCTAGTTCAAGTCTTGCCCTTTGGGAACTGCCTCCTGTCCTGTAGTGCACATGCGAGATCTGTGTCCTTGCTCGTGTGTATGCTGTGAGCCCGGTGTCATCACCACCCCCACAACCCTAGCATCAATATACACTTGCGAGCCAGGAAGGACCGCTGAGGTGCCCTTGAGCAGAAGTGGGGGCTGGACCCCGAGTCCCGAGGCCTCAGTTCTGCTCCTGCACTGCCATTCACTGAGCAAGCCTGGGCCTCAGATCTCCCAGCTGTAAGACAGGAACAGCAATGGCACCCACCCCACATGGTTCTTCAACCATACCTAGAGGGGTATTATTAACAGAGACAGTTCTCCCAACATTGAGCAGAAGGCAAGGCTCCCGCAGGAGGTCCCCAAAACATCAGTTTACATAATCTGGTTCCCTGTCCCTCCTTACCTCTCCACACATCTGCAGCCCTTGTCCCCTCAAAGCAATATCCTGGTTTTGCTACGTTCTCGGGCATCCCCAAGATCATTCTAACCTGTGATGTTGTGTCTACCTAGAGATCTCCCCGTCGACCAGCATTAAATCCATAATGAAAAAGAAAGACTATGGCTTCCGTGCAGGAGGTAATGGGACCAAAAAGAACCTTCAGTTTGTTGGGGTTAACGGTGGGTAAGCATCGCCTGTGAAGCTCAGAGCACCTTTCTCGCTACCTCTTCTGCTATTGTCCTTCGCTCTCGTTTCCTAGGGGGAGGCATCTGGTTTTCATTCCTCTTCAAGGGAATTAATTTCAATGGCCCTTTAAAATTCCGTCTCGGGTTTGCATGTGTTTGGCTTCTCGCCAGCTGTGGTGGTCTGTTGGAACCTCTGTTTTTAATATGTCCTGGCTCTGGTCTTCCCCAGGGCCAGGACTCCAGGTGGCTTCTGGGATTTTTGAGGGAATATGGGCCCTTAGAGGAAGGCATTTAACCTGAACCATAAAACTGAAACTAATACAAACTCTGTTAATTTGTGGAACTTCAAATTTCATCCATTTAATTTTTTTCTTCCTTTAACTTCCTGCAAGCCAAACCCAAGTGTTTGGGGATGAAGAAAAACAACCAGACTATTGACTCAGAACATGAGCAAAACCTTCTATGTTCTAGAGAATTGAATATTTGATTTAGAGTATTTTCTAAGTCAGTCATTCAGCAAACATGTATTAAATGCCAACAGTGAGCTTGGCGGCGGAGACTAAAAAGTCAGATAAATAATGGTCCCTGCCTTTAGCTCACAGATAAGAGAAGTAAAGATGAAATGCTGACGTGCTGAGATAAATTCTGTTAGGAGAGGAAGCACAGGATGCTGTGGAAGCCCAAACCGTGAAGGCTGCCCAGAGAGGCTAGAATCCCTGCTAATTTGAGTCACACCAGAAAGGAAGATATTAGATGCCCACAGGGGAAATGTCAGAAATGATGAACTGGGGCCGGACATGGTGGCTCATGCTGGTAATCTCAGCACTTTGGGAGGCCAAGGTAGATGGATCACTTGAGGCCAGGAGTTCAAGATCGACCTGGCCAACATGGTGAAACCCCATCTCTACTAAAAATACAAAACTTGGCTGGGTGTTTTGGCTCACGCCTGTAATCCCGGAAGTTTGGGAGGCTAAGGCGGACGGATTATGAGGTCAGGAGTTCGAGACCAGCCTGGCAAACATAGTGAAACTTCATCTCTACTAAAAAAGTACAAAAAAATGAGCCGGGCATGGTGGCAGGCACCTATAATCCCAGCTACTCGGGAGGCTGAGGCAGGAAAATTGCTTGAACCTGGGAGATGGGGTTGCAGTGAGCCGAGATTGCGCCACTGCACTCCGACTTGGGGGACAGTGCAAGACTCTGTCTCAGAAAAAAAAAAATTAGCCAAGTGTAGGGGAGCCCACCTGTAGTCACAAATACTCGGGAGGCTGAGGCAGGAGAATCACCTGAACCTTGGGAGGTAGAGGTTGCAGTGAGCCAAGATCACACCACTGCATTCCCTCCTGGATGACAGAACAAGACTCTGTCTTGAAAAGGAAAGAAAAGAAATGACAAAGTGGGTGTCACAGGAGAGTTGCTGTTCCCACTTTCACTAACGTCTGACAGAAGATTTTGTGCTTTCACAGTTGATGTACAGAAAAGGAGAATCAGCCTCATCGCAAAGCCTAGTGTAGGTCATGTGTCTCCCCAGCTTGAATGCTCTAGCGGTCCCTACTCTGCACCCAAACCTGGAAGAGCCGAATCATGGCTCTGCCCAGCCTTAGGCCCTGCCGCTGATGTCCCTTGCCCCCCTCCAACAGGCTGAGCTCGGGCCCATCTCAGGGCCCTGGCATTTGCTGTTTTCCTGTTAAAGGCCTCCTCTCCCGGATAGTCCTCAGTATTTGTTACTCTAGTGCAGTGATTCTGAGCCTTGGTTGCAGGCTGCAAACACCGGGGAGCTTTTAAAACATTCCAGTGTCTGGGTCCTTTAATTAGTCTGGGTGCAGTCCACATACTGGGAATTCTAAACACCCTCAAATGTTTCTAATGTAACCACTAAGGTTAGGAACTTCTGCTCTAATTAAAGTAGCCACTCCTGCCGGGCGCGGTGGCTCAAGCCTGTAATCCCAGCACTTTGGGAGGCCGAGGCGGGTGGATCACAAGGTCGAGAGATCAAGACCAACCTGGTCAACATGGTGAAACCCCGTCTCTACTAAAAATACAAAAAATTAGCTGGGCATGGTGGCGTGTGCCTGTAATCCCAGCTCCTCAGGAGGCTGAGGCAGGAGAATTGCCTGAACCCAGGAGGCGGAGGTTGCGGTGAGCCGAGATTGCGCCATTGCACTCCAGCCTGGGTAACAAGAGCGAAACTCCTTCTCAAAAAAAAAAAAAAAAAAAAAAAAAGAGTGCTTATCATAAAGTAGCCACTCCTCCCATCCTTCTATCCCGTGGCTCTTCTTTATTTTATTCATTGTTTTTTATCACCATCTGAATATAATATTTGTTTACATGTTCATTTTCTGCCTCTCCGTACTAGAATATAAGCTCCACTGGGGCAGGGACTTTGGTACAGGATTTAGAACTGTGCCTGGGCCATAGTAGGTGCTCAGTAAATTCCTGCTGAATGAATAAGTGAACTTCCAGGTAAAGTTTTTATAGAAGCTGTTCTAAGATGAGCATTGCTTGGTAAATGTAATATGCCCTCTACTCTCTTAATCACAAATGGGAAAGGTTGTTCCGTGCATAATAGAGGAAGAAATATCTGGAATTTAAGTAAGACAGAATGCATGCACACCAGGAAGCAGACAGAGTTTGCAAATCCTTTGGGTATAGGGGCTTTATGTAGAGGCTACCGTTCAGAGAAGGGTCCTTCGGGGGTTCAGTGGAGGCCATGGCCACCAGTCCCTGTGGCTGTGTCCAGTGGCCCAAGAGCCTGAAATCATTTACCACCAGCATTCTCCATCAGGGATCTCCTGTTAAGCATCAGTAGCAGAGTCAATACATCTTCCAGGACTTTCCTCCATGGTCTCTGGTCTGCCAACTCAGAAGAGTCACTTGTAATTGAACATGAGGGTCACTACCAGGGAAGAGGACTGCGAGTCACGTGGCCCATGCTCTCCCTTTTGCTGCTTTAAGCAATAGTTCAAACAGGCTGCAGCCAAGACAGGTAGATGCTGTGTTAGGGTATCCCACAGAGTACTGGAAGCAGGCGCAGAGGAGTTCATGCTTTGCCGGGTGCAAGCTGGGCTGGCGCAGGCTAAAGGGAGGTCTCACTCTCACCCAGAGATGTGAAGATTTGTCAGGCAACTTGGTGAACTCAGGTAGGAGGTGGGGCCTGGAGCTGGGCCCCTCTCTGGACCTAATATTAAGATTCCACAAGCAGAAAGCTTTTATGAGAACCTTAGGTGGCCCGTCTGGATCACCTGAATGCATCAGCCAGTGAGGGGGCAGGCTGCTTATAGGTTTGCTGCAGTGAGCACAGTTCATTATTTTGACAATGAGCATAGTTAATTGAGTCTCTCCAAATAGCCTCCCCAGAGCCCTTCACTGCATGTCTTTCTGACACTGAGATTCCTGGAAGCCTGTCACCCTGCCTGCAGGTATAGAGAGTGGGGTAGGAGATTAGCAAGCTTCAGAGCATTCCCCAGGCCCACGCAGCTCTCACTGGTGTTGGCACAGGCACTGGGCAGGAAAGGCAGGACCAGTGTGACCTCTGTCTCCTTCCCCAGGTATGAGACCACCTCGAGTGAGGAGACCAGCGGTGAGGACAGCTCCCCAGAGGATTTGTCTGACAGTGAAGCTGAGAAGAAGTGTGACGGCCCCGACCACAGGCATGTCAAAGATGCCCACCTCACCTGCGAGGCTGGGCAGGGCATCCCTGAGGGTTCTTGTTGTGCCACCCAGGAAAGTGGGCCTGGGGAAGAGGTCCCCCACTCCAAGGCTGAGAGGTGAGCAAATGGACACAAACAGGGGCACTTGTTCCTCTGAAAAAGAGCAAGGGCATATATCCACGCGTTCATGCAACCATTTGTTCATTCATGTACCCATCCCTTCACCCGTGCTGTTTAAGTCTCTTTTTCATGCCCACACTGTGCACTGGTGAAACAAAGCAGATGTGGCTCCTGCCTTCGTGGAATGTACTGTCACAGCCAGAGGTCTATGTATAAAGTCAACATTTACCTAGTACTGAAACTGTGAAGGACTTTACAAGCATTATCCTACATACTCCTTTCAACAGTCCCCCAGGGTAGAAGTTATTATGACCTCCCCACTCTACAGATGTGGAAACGGAGGTTTAGGGAAGTGCAGGGATGCAGCTAGCAGAGCAGGGATCCCAGCCCCCGTCCTTCTGATTGCTAGCCACAAGCTTTTCTGCCTGTGCCATTGACCATGCTGGCAGAACACTGCCTTTTAAAGTGATGGGAGTGGCCAGGCACCATGGCTCACACCTGTAATCCCAGCACTTTGGGAGGCTGAGGGAGAGGATCCCTTGAGCCTAGGAGTTTGAGACCAGCCTGGGCAGCAGAGCAAGACTCTGTGTCTATTTTAGTTAAAATACATTTTTTTTAAGACAAAATAATAAAAGTAGCCGGGTGTGGTGGCTCACACCTGTAATCCCAGGACTTTGGGAGGCTGAGGCAGGCAGATCACGAGGTCAGGAATTTGAGACCAGCCTGGCCAATATGGTGAATCCCTGTTTCTATTAAAAACATAAAAATTAGCTCAGGTGTGGTGGTGTGTGCCTGTACTCACCAGTTACTTGGGAAACTGAGGCAGGAGAATCACTTGAACCCAGGAGGCAGAGGTTGCAGTGAGCCAAGACTGCACCACAGCACTCCAGCCTGGGCGACAGAGTGAGACTCCGCCTCAAAATAATAATAATAAAAATAAAAGTAAAGTGATGGGAGGTTATGCAGCAGGATGAGAAGAGCACTGTCTTTGGAGTCAGCTATACCTGGGCTCGAGTCCCGCCTCTGCCACGGTGTTACTTTAGGCAAAGTCCTTGAGCTGTGGGTCCCTCAGTTTCCTCATCTGTCAAATGTGCATAATAGCAACCTGATAGGTTTGATCTGTGAACTGCATGAGAAAAAGCAAGTATAGCTGGGCATGGTGGCGTGTGCCTGTAATCCCAGCTCCTCAGGAGGCTGAGGCAGGAGAATCGCCTGAACCCAGGAGGCAGAGGTTGCAGTGAGCCGAGATCGCGCCATTGCACTCCTGCCTGGGTAACAAGAGCGAAACTCCATCTCAAAAAAAAAAAAAAAGAAAAAGAAAAAGCAAGTAAATGCCTAGCACAGTGCCTCCCACAGAGAAGGCTCTCAGTAAATGGTGGAAACAAGACTGTTATTACCGTTATCATCACTATCAGCATCTCCGGCCTGGATGCCGGAGGAGTGGTGAACAGTGGACGGGAGCTGACTATCACCCAGTTCAGGGCTGCTCCAACATGGTGGCAAGATAAGGACAGGCCAAGTGAGTGGGCTTCTTTGCGTCCAGTGCCCTTAAGCCCATCCTGAGACCTTTTGGTGCTGAGCCTGCGTTCAGACTAACATAGAGAGTGCTTGTTACCGTGGGCACCTCGCCTTCAATGAGTCTCACGGTACTGACTTTATGAGTACTTATGGTGTCCTTCATGGAAGAATGACCTGAAGAAATTTTCTGGTATGGATTGGGTTCTTTGATTTTTTTTTTTCCAGTCACCCAGGCAGAAAATGATTGGTCCAAAGTCAGAAAGACAGCCCTCCCCTTCCCAGCAGGCCAGGAATTGCAGCTGGGCCTGTCCACCAGCCCCTCCACAAATCCCCCACCCAAATGCTGGTTATTAACCCCAGCCCCTGATAAAAGCAGGATGAAGTGGGCAGCACGCTGGCTCGTCGTCAGAAGCCTTCCGAAGCCTGCTCACGTCGGCACACACCGTGGTCGCTCAGAATTCTGAAGGTCGCCCCGTCCTAGGGCAGTTGCCCGGTTTGGATGTTTGAGCTGCTGAGAAAGAGGAGGAGAGTGAAAGTCTTGTTTATCAACATGAAGAATGATTATATAAATATGTGTATGTATATTTGTTTTCTTTAGATATAAACCATCAGAAGAATTTCTTAATGCATGCCGGGCACTGAGCCAGCGTCTGCCGGAAACTGGGACTACCACAGACCAGCTCTTGGTACTCTGATTTTTCATTGTCATGTAAAGATTTCTCTTCTGTTTAAGATGTTAGCTCTGCCAGGGTGACTTTGGTCACAGTGATGTGAGACAGGCAGTGGTGTGAGTGTGTGAGTGTGCAGTGTGAGGCAGTGGTGTGAGTGTGTGAGTGTGTGAGTGTGCCGTGTGAGGCAGTGGTGTGAGTTTGTAAGTGTGCGGTGTGAGGTAGTGGTGAGTGGTGTGAGTGTGCAGTGTGAAGCAGTGGTGTGAGTGTGTGAGTGTGCAGTGTGAGTGGTGTGAGTGTGCAGTGTGAGGCAGTGGTGTGAGTGTGTGAGTATGTGGTGTGAGGCAGTGGTATGAGTGTGCCATGTGAAGCAGTGGTGTGAGTGTGTGAGTGTGCAGTGTGAGGCAGTGGTGTGAGTGTGCAGTGTGAGGCAGTGGTGTGAGGTGTGTGTGGTGTGAGGCAGTGGTGTGAGGTGTGAGTGTGCAGTGTGAGACAGTGGTGTGGGTGTGCAGTGTGAAGCAGTGGTGTGAGTGTGTGAGTGTGCAGTGTGAGGCAGTGGTGTGAGTGTGTGAGTGTGTGGTGTGAGGCAGTGGTGTGAGTGTGCAGTGTGAGGCAGTGGTGTGAGTGTGTGAGTGTGCAGTGTGAGGCACTGGTGTGAGTGTGCAGTGTGAGGCAGTGGTGTGAGGTGTGAGTGTGCAGTGTGAGGCAGTGGTGTGAGTGCATGAGTGTGCAGGCCAGAGCCCCTTTCCTCTGGGAGTTCTCTCCTTCACCCAATCACTGCAGCCTGCAGAGATGGGTCACGCTGAGGACGTGGAACCCATGGATATACACAAGAAAGCAGGCCGGGACTCAGAGTCACTTCCCACGAGTCATTAGGCAATGCACCACAAATGTCTGTCATCAAACTCTGTGGCTTAGGGTCACAAACCCTGTGGTTTGAGAGGACTGTGGGCAGAGTGGGAAAAACATGTGGAATGGGATCTGAAGGTTCTATTCCCAGGACCTCATCTGGAAGATACTGGGCAAGTCGGTTCCATGCTCAATGCCTCTGTTTCTTCATCAATAAAATGAAGGTGGTAGAGGGCATGCTTCCATTCCCCTAAACTCTGACGTTGAATTCTGTAGTCATGACTGTTTTTCTTGAAGTGCACCTCTGGGCTGAGAGACCGAAAACAAGAAAATACGCATTTGCTCCTTCACACCTTCATGGCCTACAGAGATTAAAACTAATAGAGATTCTACTCATAATCAAGGGATAGTGGCACATTTTCCCAAGTTATGAGAGCAGTTGTAAGACCCATGGTGGAACAACCCGTAAGCATTTTTAAAAGCTGTTTTGCTCTCCTTTGCAAAAGAGCCCTAGAAGTAAAAACAATCAATTCATCAGGTTTATTACTTACCCAACTTGTTTTTGGTATATCTTAGCTGTTGTTGTTTTCTAAAGAACCAATATGTAGGGCCGGGTGCAGTGATTCATGCCTGTAATCCCAGCATTTTGGGAGGCTGAGCTGGGCAGATCGCTTGAGCCTAGGACTTTGAGACCATCCTGGGCAATGTGGCAAAACCCTGACTCTACAAAAAAAAAAAAAAAAATACAAAAAATTAGCCTGGCATGGTGGCATGCGCTTGGAGTCCCAGCTACTCAGAGGCTGAGGTGGGAGAATTACCTGAGCCCCGAAGGTCGAGGCTGCAGTGAGCTGTGATTGCACCACTGCACTCCAGCCTTAGTGTTGGAGTGAGATCCTGTCTCAAAAACAGAAGAAGAAAGAACCAATATATGATGTGGATGTTGATCAAAACTCCTGTCACTTATTCTTAATTGAATTATCAAACTAAAGTCTTTCTTAGCTCTTCATTCAAAGTTCACCCCTCAGCCAGGCTTGGTGGCTCATGCCTATAATCGTATCACTTTTGGAGGCTGAGACAGGCGGATCACCTGAGGTCAGGAGTTTGAGACCCACCAACATGGCGAAACCCCATCTCTACTAAAAATATAAAAATTAGTTGGGCATGGTGGCCCATGACTGTAATGTCAGCTACTTGGGAGGCTGAGGCAGGAGACTCGCTTGAACCCAGGAGGTGGAAGTTGCAGTGAGCTGAGATCGCACCATTGCACTCCAGCCTGGGCCACAGAGTGAGACTCTATCTCAGAAAAAAAAAAAAAAAATCACCCTTCAGTTTCTTAATATTAGGATCTTTCTCCAGATTTTCTGGAAGATTCCATGGGTAAAGGAGATACTCTGATTTATAAAAGTGTTTCAACCACAAAAGATTCCATGAATTCTGCTCTAAAAAGTGATCAGAGGACATGCAAGCCTGGCACCACACCCATGTTAGAATCAAAGCACAGGATACCATCTCCCTTGCCCTAACCTTAGAGGAAAAAGCAGTTTGTATAAGGACCTCACTCTGTAGAGCCATGGAAGGTAAAGGGCCAGTCCCCTTTTACTCCCATTTTATGACAGGATAAGTAAAGTTCAAAAAGATTGTATGACTTCCAAGTTCACACGGCTGAGCCAGGGATTAAACCAGGTCACATTGATTTAGCGACTCCAAGTCCGGGACTCTTCCCAGCATGAATATGATGTCATTTATCATAATCACTTCCCAATAGCTTCTCCTCCCTGTTAGGTAAATACCCCTTAAACACTGAGATCATGTCACACACAGAGTTGATGTCATTGGCTCTGGAACGCTTCTTGTTCGTGGTCCCAGAGGAGCTGAATGCTACAGATAGCAGGGTCTGCCGCGGGTTCTTAAACCGTTTACTCTCAAGGTCCTTGCAAAGCTTAAAAGCCAAACATGTCAAGCACACCTGTTGGGGTTTTATTTCAAGCATATATTTGGGGATGCTGTTTGTCCTCGCATGCATGTTTCCCGTTATACTATGTTGCGATTTTCCAGCTATGCCTATTAAAAACATGCAGGAGTCCTGGTAGAGTCTGGGGCAAGGTCAGTGTGAGCTGGCTGTGTGAGCGTGAAGGAGAGGGCCTTTGTAATTGTGAGCATACCCAGGGTGTGAGCTGAACTTCTTAGCGGGGGTGTGAGCTGAACTTCCCGCAGATTCAAACTGTCTCCAGTTAAGTACCTTGTTAGTGGTTACTACGCTATCCTCCCAATCCTCCTTTCCACTCCCAGAGGGGAGCGATCGCACAGGTACAAAGTATGTTGCTTGTATTCCTAACCCCACCAACTCTGAGCCTTTCAGGAATAAATCACATGGCGAGCTGGAGGGAGCTGAAGGAACAGAGGCCAAAGCTGGCTTTCCTTGTGTAGGGGAGGAACCTTTGCTGGCCATGGAACCTCTTAGAATTGGTCTCTTTTGGGGTTTCAGAGGCAAAGCCTGAACACCATCAGTCAAGAGTGGTTCCGCGTCTCCAGCCGGAAGTCATCTAGCCCTGCCATGGTGGCCGCCTACCTCCGTGAGGTCCAGCCTCACTCCCCACACTTCCTGCAGCTGCTTGTCAACTTGGCGGATCGCAATGGGAACACGGCCCTTCACTACAGCGTGTCCCACTCCAACTTCTCCATCGTGAAGCTGCTACTGGAGACAGGTCAGAAGTGGTTGCATTCATACAGTCTGGGTCCCTCCTTGGAAGGACAGGACAATTTAAAACAATTTTTTTCAAAAACTTCAGTAGCTTTAGAGGTACAAGTGGTTTGGTCACATGGATGAATTGTAGAGTGAAGTCGGATCTTGTAGTGTACCCATCACCCAAATAGTGTACATGGCACCAAATAGGTTCATTCCCCAGCCCCTCCACCCTCGCCTCTTCTGAGTCTCCGGTACAATTGTCCATTCTGCCACTCTGTATGTCTTCGTGTGCCTGTGGCTTAGCTCCCAATTATAATGAGAACATGCAGTATTTGGTTTTTCATTCCTGAGCTACTTCGCTTGCGACAATGGCCTCCAGTTCCATCCAAGTTGCTGCAAAATACATTGTTTTGTTCTTTTTTATGGGCTGAGTAGTATTCCATGGTGTGTGTGTGTGTGTGTGTGTGTGTAAAACATTTTCTTTATCTACTCATCGGTTGATGGGCACTTAGTTTGATTCCATGTCTTTGCAGTTGTGAACTGTGCTGTGATAGCATACACATCCAGGTGTCTTTTTGATAGAATGACTTGAAGAGCAATTCCTGTACCTCATTTCTTTCTAGCAAGGAAATGCTGCCCTGTTTAAGGTTCCCTCTGTGTTCCAGGAACTGGACTAGACCATTTTACCTGTTTGCCCTGTTTGTTCTTCGCGGAATTCCTGTGATGTGGGTATTGTTCTCATGTTGCAGCTAAGGGAACTGAGGCTCAAGAGTTATAAGACTTGCTCAAGTTACAGTGCTGGTAAAGGGTAGAGTCAGGTTTTGTGTTCAGTCAGTCTGTCCAGCTCCAGAGGTGTCCCATACCTCTAGGGAAGATGGCATTTTCCTGTCTTTAGAAGATACTTTTTAACAAAGGTCATGGCTCCATTTGACTAATTTGACTCAACTTGATTCATTCATCCTTCGTCGGATATTAACTGACTACCCATGAGGTTCATACTGGCTACTACCAGGGAGGCAAAGGTGAGCCAGGTGAGCCCTCTGCTTCCTGGGAGCTACCAGCCAAGCAATTGAGATGGAGCCAGATGATGGCTCATGAAAGACAGATGGAGGGCCAGGCGTGGGTGGCTCACACCTGTAATCCAAGCTCTTTGCGAGGCTGAGGCGGGTGGATCATGAGGTCAGGAGATCAAGACCATCCTGGCTAACACAGTGAAACACCATCTCTACTAAAAATACAAAAAAATTGGCCAGGCATAATGGCCTAGGCCTGTAGTCCCAGTTACTCGGGAGGCTGAGGCAGGAGAATCGCTTGAACCCGGGAGGTGGAGGTTGCAGTGAGCTGATATCACACCACTGCACTCCAGCCTGGGTGACAGAGTGAGACTTTGTCTCAAAAAAAAAAAAAGAGAGAGAGAGAGAGATGGAGAATGTGATTTAGGAACTGAAATGAGAGCATGTCTAGTTCAGAGAGCGGCAAAGGTGTGCTGCAGCAGGTAGGGCTCCAGTAGGCAGACAGGGTTCCAGGCAGAAGGAGCTCCATGGAGGTCAGACAGGGGAAATGCCTGGACACCAGAAAGCTCCTAGTCTGGATGGGATGGGAAGGTTAGAAGAGAGAGTTAGAGCCACTGCATGGAGAAACAGAGGACCTAGAGTGCCAGGCTGAACCCTGCTTGGAAGGTCCCAGGAAGTCAGTGCAGGTTTTTTATAGGAAACTCCATAAGCAGGGGAATTCTCTAAGAAGAGTCATTTGACAGTAGGGGTGGGTTAGTGATGGGAGCCGGAGAGGAGGTGGCAGGGCAGACAGGAGGCCATTGCAGAGGTCCACAGAGAGGTAGCGAGGGCTTGCAACAGGTGAGGATGGTAGGACCCGAACAGCAAAAAGCCACTGGGAGGCCAGGCATGGTGGCTCACACCTGTAATCCCAGCACTTTGGGAGGCCAAGGCGGGTGGACCATTTGAGGTCAGGAGTTCAAACCCAGCCTGGCCAACAGGGTGAAATCCTGTCTCTATTAAAAATACAAAAATTAGCTGGGTGGCAGTGACGCATGCCTGTAATCCCAGCTACCCAGGAGGCTAAGGCGGAAGAATCACTTGAGCCTGGGAGGCGAAAGTTGTGGTGAGCCGAGATTGTGCCACTGCACTCCAGCCTGGGTGACAGAGTAAGACCCTGTTTCAAAAAAAAAAGAAAGAATAAAAGGGCATCGGGAAGGTAGCTCCCAACTGGTGAGATGAGTTGGAGCTCTCTGTTGAGCCTGGATAGTTGAGAAGAACATGGGCTGCAGGAGAAGGAGCAAATGTGGGGGATGCAGAAAGCATATTTCAGTTTGGAGCAGATTTTTAGTTTCCAGTGGATCATCTCTGTGGAGCTATGCAAGGGCTATTGAGAATTCCAGATGTAAAATGACAGGGCCACAGAGTTTTAGGAGAGACCTGCTAGAGCACATGCAATGAGGCCATTAGGGGAGGAGGCCTGTCTTGCTCTTGGTCATCCTATGCAGAGAGAGAGAGAGAGAGAGAGAGAGAGAGAGAGAGAGCACGCCAGCGGAGGAGACCCAGACAGAGTTGTGTGACAACGAGAAGAAATAAGAGGATCGTGGCCGATGGGGAAGGACAGCCCATGAAAAACAGGAGGCTGAGGTGGGGGGATCGCTTGAACCCAGGGAGTTGAGGCTGCAGTGAGCTGTGATCACACCACTGTACTCCAGAGTGGGTGACAGAGCAAGATATGGTCTCAAAAAAAAAAGAAAAAAGAAAAGTCAGTCCCATTGCTCTTTTCATTTCTGGTGTCGAGGAGATGGAGCATATGCTAGATCCGTATTCCTTCTTTTAGGAGGCCTGAGGTGGGGATTTAAATGGACATCAAAAGTCTGAGTCTCCCCAACTCCGGTCCTGTCTGGCTAAAATCCCTCGTATTGCTCTTAGCGTAGGAGGCGGCGTCTTCAGCCTGGCCTTCAGGACTCTGTCTTCCCTGGCTCCCACCTGCCTGGGCCGTCTCTGTTGCCGCCACACCCTCCCCCTTCCCTTCACTCCATCCACGCTGGCCTCACTCACCAAGGTCATTCCCTCCTGGGATTTCTGTATTTACCTTCTACCTGGACTCTTCCCCCTGAGGTTCCTCTTGTGACTGGCTCCTTCTCATCATTCAAGTCACAGCCCAAATGTCACCTCCTTAGAAGTCTTCCGGGTGCCTGTCTAAAGTGGCTGCCCCCATCTCTCTCTAAGGGAGCATTCTCTTTCCTTCTTGAGACACTCTTTGCTTTTCCTTTCTACCCAACAGAATGTTAATTCACTCAAAAGGGGCCTGTCTGCCTTGTTCCTGTCTGTTTCCCCAACACCTAGACCAGTTCCTAGTTCCTAGCAGGTGTTGAGTAAAAATGTCTGTTAAATGAATGAGCAATGGATGATTCTTGGGAGCTAGGTTAAATTCCGGTAAACTTCCAAGTCTTCGAAATTCTGCTAAGCAGCTTTGAGTCTCTTCAGCTGAATGGAAAGGCAATGTACATAATGACAGCCTGAAGCCGTTTCTGATTTTCACATCATCAAAAGAAGATTAAATTACAGCTAGCAGTGAGCTGATGTTATTGATTTTGGTTCTTCATGGATGCACAGATACCATCAAAATGGTAGATTAATTGCAAAAGGCACATAATTCGGTGGAGCACGGCTCTGTGTTCCGTTGCTGTGTTCAGTGTTAGGGGCCGTCAGTGTAGAACATGAATAAGAGCAGCCACTGCTTTTTCAATGTCATTCTCATCCCAGACACTGGGCTTAGTGTGATGTACATATACTGTCGTGTGCAATCCTTGCAGGAATTGTGAAGCAGAACTTAACTGCCTTTTCCAAGTGAGGAAATTGAGGCTGACATGTCAGGTAATGCAGTCAAGGTCACAGAGCCTGTAAGAAGCTAATCCAGTATTCAAACTGAGACGCGTCACCCTCCTAATCTGGGCTTTTGCTACTACCGCAATCTAGGCTTCTGGGACACTGTGAGACTTTGGAAACACCCGTTATGTGCATGAAGAATCCAAGGGCCAGTAATGTATGGCCCTTGTCTTTAGTGCACAGACTTGCAGCCTGTTAGAAGTTTGAGCCGGGCGCCGTGGCTCAAGCCTGTAATCCCAGCACTTTGGGAGGCTGAGGCGGGTGGATCACGAGGTCAAGAGATCGAGACCATCCTGGTCAACATGGTGAAACCCCGTCTCTACTAAAAATACAAAAAAATTAGCTGGACATGGTGGCGCGTGCCTGTAATCCCAGCTACTCAGGAGGCTGAGGCAGGAGAATTGCCTGAACCCAGGAGGCGGAGGTTGCGGTGAGCCGAGATCGCGCCATTGCACTCCAGCCTGGGTAACAAGAGCGAAACTCCGTCTCAAAAAAAAAAAAAAAAAAGAAGTTTCTGGGTGGGCCAGGCCAGGACAGAGAAGAGACAACTAAAATTTGGGTGTTATAAATATCTGCTGATGTGAAGAATCCAGTTAATACTCACCAACTTTAAAGTGGTTTGGAAGCATTTCCCTTTAACGTAGTGAAATAGCTAAATAGCCATAAAGGTAAAGTAAGAAGGGGCTTGGGGAGAATGGGTTGACAGAGTCATTACTTTCTCTCATCTGTAGAAGAGATGTTGAGGATGATGGATCTGTCACATTCCCAAACCTGGGCTGTCCTTAGAGGCAGTTGTCAAGCATCCAGAAAAAAACACTATAAACCGTAAAGGGCTGTATGGAAGTGGCTCATTATTATTGAGAACAGAGCCAGAGTACACCTCTGCCGGCTTAATCCCAAGTGGTGCATCCTTCATTTTGCCAAATGCCCTTGCAGGGTATATTGAGTCAAAGGATGCTCTGGCAAGAGCCTTGCTTCTGTCACCTCCAGGGACGGTTGGCTTTGCTGGCTGATGGCTGCTCTGAAGCATCTGCAGTAAAGTCCTGGATCCTGGTAGGGAGCAGTGGCTCACACCTGTAATCCTAGCACTTTGGGAGGCCAAGGCAGGTGGATCACCTAAGGTCAGGAGTTCAAGACCATCCTGGTCAACATGGTGAAACCCCGTCTCTTCTTAAAATACAAAAAATAGCCAGGCATGGTGGTGCATGCCTATAATCCCAGCTACCTGGGAGGCTAAGGCAGGGGAATTGCTTGAACCCAGGAGGCAGAGGTTACAGTGAACTGAGATCATACCACTGCACTCCAACCTGGGCGGCAGAGTGAGACTCCATCTCAAAAATAATAAATAGTAAATAAATAAACAAATAAATAAAGTCCTGGGTCCTTAGCCCCTTCTAGGCCCTTTTCTGAGCCCCTGGGGAGGCATCAGACCTCATTCTACTGAGCTAAAAATTATGTTTCTGAAGAGCTAAAAATCATGTTTCTGAGGCTCCATTACACTTTTTTTTTTTTTTTTTGAGACATAATCTCATTCTGTTGCTCAGGCTGGAGTCCAGTGGTGCGATCTCAGCTCACTGCAGCCTCTGTCTCCTGGGTTCAAGCGATTCTCTTGCCTCAGCCTCCTGAGTAGCTGGGAGTACAAGCGCACACCACAATGACTGGCTAATTTTTTCTTTTGTATTTTTAGAAGAGATGGGGTTTCACCATGTTGGCCAGGATGGTCTCAATCTCCTGATGCCATGATCCACCCGCCTTGGCCTCCCAAAGTGCTGGGATTACAAGAGTGAGCCACCGCACCTGACCTCCTTTACACATCTTAAAAGCAAACATAGAATAGTCCAGGGGTAGAAATAAAAAAATTTTTATTTGCACAAGGCAATGCAATTGTTCGCTTCTGTATCAGGACAGAGCTATGAGGTGGTGCAGGGAGTTGTTATTTAGCTTTCATCGCCTGCCGGCTCATGGCAGTGTCCAAGGAGCTGGAGGGAAAACTGCTGATAAATGAGGCAGACTGATGCCTCTGTCTCCACTGATGGCCTCATATTATCATAGCACATTTCTGAAAAACTGTTTGAAAAATTGTGGGGTGGAGGGAATATCAAACAAATGTTGCTTTTTTCCATTTGCATAGAACTTGCAAATAGCCCTAACTGACATTTTTTCATAAACCAGATTTTTACAATGAATACCTAAACCTTAAAAGAATATCATTCTGGGCCGGCCGTGGTGGCTCACATTTGTAATCCCAGCCCTTTGGGAGGCCAAGGCAGGTGGATCGCCTAAGGTCAGGAGTTCGAGACCAGCCTGGACAGCATGGTGAAACCCCCTCTCTACTAAGAAAAAACCCAAAAATTAGCTGGGTATGGTTGCAGGTGCATATAATCCCAGCTACTCAGGAAGCTGAGGCAGGAGAATCGCTTGAAACTGAGAGGCAGAAGTTGCAGTGAGCCAAGATAGCCCCATTGCACTCCACCTTGGGCAACAGAGTGAGACTCCATCTTAAAAAAAAAAAATCATTCTGGACAATAATAGTAATAACAGTTAACTCTTATTGAGTGTTTACTGTGTACTAGCCATGTTCCTAAGTCAGGGATGTCCAATCTTTGATGTCCCTGGGCCACATTGGAAGAGGAAGAATTGTCTTGGACCACACATAAAATGCACTAACACTAATGATAACCAATGAGCTAAAAACAATGTTTTAAGAAACTTTATGAATTTGTGTTGGACCACATTCAAAGCTGTCCTGGACTGCGGGTTGGACAAGCTTGTTCTAAGCACTTTAAATAATATTAGGCTGGACACAGTGGCTCATGCCTGTAATCTTAGCACTTTGGGAGGCCAAAGTGGGTGGATGGCTTGAGCCCAGGAGTTTGAGACCAGTCTGGGCAACATGGTGAAATACTGTTTCTATAAAAAACACACAAAAAATAGCAGGGCATGGTGACACGCACCTGCAGTTCCAGCTACTCAGGAGGCTGAGGTGGGAGGACTACTTGGGCTCGGGAGGTAGAGCTTATAGTGAGATCACGCCACTGCACTCACTCAGCCTAGGCAACAGAGCCAAACCCTATCCCAATGAATAAATAACTAAGCTCAATTAATTTCACAATAACCCTACAAGTTAGGTTGTGTTGTCATCCCCATTTTATAAAGGAGGAAATGCTAAGAAAGGCTAAGTGACTTGATTTACTGTAATTGTTTTTCTATTGCCCAAAGGAAGTACATAGGGAGGATTGCTTGAACCCAGGGGTCGAGGCTACAGTGAGCCATGATCGCACCATTTCACCTCAGCCTGGGAGACAGAGTAAGACTCTGTCTCCCTACCCCCAAAAAAAAGTGACATAAATTTTTCAGATAAGCAACACGACAAAGACTTTTGGTTTTTCTGTCGCCCTTGAGAGGTAGGCTCATTTACATAACAGGTATCAGTCTATGCTTGATGATCCCCTAACTCGCCTTTGGTGGAAAGGAATATGGACGTATATTCCCAGGGCTACAAAGCAGAACTTTCTTTAGAATTCTCATTTGCTTCTTCAGTGAGGATGTGTGTTTAAAAAAAAAAAAAATGGAGATGCCAAGGTTTTTTTTTTTTTTAAAGATGGGGTTTCACCGTGTTGGTCAGGCTGGTCTTGAACTCCTGACCTCAGGTGATTCGCCCAACTCGGCCTTCAAAGTGCTTGGATTACAGGCACGAGACCGTGCCCAGCCGAGATGCCAAGATTTAAAAAAAGGGGGGGAAAAAAAGAATTCTCATTTGCTATATTTAGTATTAAAAATATGTCAGGTTTGGTCAGGTGCAGTGGCTCACATCTGTAATAATCACAACACTTTGAGAGGCCCAGGCAGGCAGATTGCTTGAGGTCAGAAGTTCGAGACCAGCCTGGCCAACATGGTGAGACCCCCCCATCTCTACTAAAAATACATTTTAAAAAAATTAGCTGGGCATGGTGGTGCATGCCTGTAGTCCCAGCTATTCAGGAAGCTGAGGCAGGAGAATCGCTTGAACCCAGGAGGCGGAGGTTGCAGTGAGCAGAGATCGAGTCATTGCACTCCAGCCTGGGCAACAGAGCAAGACTGTCTCAAAACAACCACCACCACCACCACCACCACCACCACCACCAGGTTGTTGGCTGGGTCCAGAGACTTATGCCTGTAATTCCAGCACTTTGGGAAACTGAGGCAGGTAGATCACTTGAGGTCGGGAGTTCAAGACCAGACTGGCCAACACAGTGAAACCCTGTCTCCATTAAAAATACAAAAATTAGCCAGGAGTGGTAGCAGGCACCTATAGGCTACTTGAGAGGCTGAGGTGGGAGGATCACTTGGACCTGGGAGGCAGAGGTTGCAGTGGGAGCTGAGGTTGTACCACTGCACTTCAGCCTAGGTGACAGAGTAAGACTTTGTCTCAAGAAAAATAAATAGGTAAACAAATAATGTCAGGTTTTCATTGCATTGTGAAATGTAATTCTTAATTGTTTTAATATAAAAATTGTGGAGTTTTTTTCTCCCTCCATTTTTCAAGTGAGATGGTTGTTCCTAGAAGATTTCCCCTGTTTATCCCACGGTGTTGTTCATGCTTCTGGTACATGGCACAGTAGATCCCTAGATCCTCAGAAAGGACCTGCAAACACAGCCATTGGTTTAAGAGTTACACACAAACCTGAGCTAATGAGTGTGAAACCTAAAACGCACAGCTGTGGGTGGCATTCCAGATGTGGAGGCAGGTGAGGGATGAGCTCCAGAGCCGGATAGACCTGAGTGTTCCCTGCCCACTTCTCATGAGTGGATTATGTAACTTCTCTGGCCCTCAGTGTCCTCATCTGTAAAATGGGAATAACATTCTGTGCTCCAGTTTGGGAAATGAAGTCATGGCCACAGGCCCTTTGGCCATCTCTGGCTTTGTTTTGGACCTCCCTTGCTGGGTAGCCTCAGAAAACTTGTCAAGAAAAGTAACCAGCTTTAAAGACTGCTACAAATGTAAACCACGGGCTCCACCTGTGGAAAGCATTGCTCTATTCTGTGCCCTTCTAGCCCGTAAGCAGTGTCTGGTTGAAATGGCTAAAGTGGAATCTGGCTCCTGGCCCCTCAGGAGCCATTCCAGCACCCATTGCTTCCCTGCAGGCGTCTGCAATGTGGACCATCAGAACAAAGCTGGCTACACTGCCGTAATGATCACTCCCTTGGCTTCCGCGGAGACCAGTGAAGACATGGCTGTGGTCTGGAAGCTCTTAAGAGAAGGAAATGTGAACATTCAAGCTACTCAGGTGGGTGGAATGAACATGATCTCCTCTTCAGTAAATGCGGGGACACCTCCCAGCTTTATTCTGCTAGTGGATGAGAAATTTCATGCAGATCCATGTAGTTTTTAACCCAAAGAGGCTCGACCTCCAAATGGCATCCATGCAAAGCCTGGTTCAGTTTTCCTTATAGGCTCCTGAGACCCAGCCAGCCTTGGACAGAGGTCAGTGAGCTTCTAATATAGGTCCCAGTCTGAAACAGCGAATTCCATCCGGATGCAACCTCTAGAACCAACGTTCCCAGTTACCATCTTAAGAAGGCATTTGCTGGTTGGCTGCTCTAAGAGATTCCTCATAGGTGAGCCACCTTGATCACGACCCACAGGCAACTAACTAGGCTCTTTGGAGGTCCAGTCCTTTAAATAAGTTCTCACCTCTATCACCCCAAAGCCTTTCAACAAGGTCATAAGTCCTCAGACTGAGAGGAAGTGTGGATAGCCAGGGCAGACAGAAGCATCCCTAGGGGTATTGAGGATTCCCACTTTCCAGGCCTCAGCTTAGCTCAGAGGGTCATTATAGAGTTCTGCAGGTCATTATCAATCAATCTGGCATGCTGCCTCAGCCTTTGAAATAACCAGATCTCAAAACATTCCTATCTTCCTTATCTCTGCACCAACAATTGTGAGTAATACTGTTCCCGACACACAAATGATGCCCCAGTCCCCAGGAGCAGTGCCATGGGCCAGGCTGGGAAAAACAGTTGCTTCGAAGAGTCAGTAGGGCCCTACACAAAGGTAGTATCCAGGGATTCAGGACTTGTAGGCTCCACTAATTCACTGGGTCACCTGCGCCTTAGGTCAGAAGAGCTCTTAAAGGTCACCTAGGTCTACCCCTTATGATTTTACAAAATCCTACCAGAAGGTTTGCAACTCCAGGACCTCCAGTGTCAGGAAACTCATGCTCTACCAAGTAGCTCATTTTGTTTGTTACTCCAGATAGCTCTGATAACTTTCTAAACTGAGCCAAGACTGAGTAATCTGAATCTTTCTCTTTTTTTTTTGAGTCGGAGTCTCACTTTGTTGCCCAGGCTGGAGCGCAATGGCGCAATCTTGCCTCACTGCAACCTCCGCCTCCCAGGTTCGAGCAATTCTTCCACCTTAGCGTCCCGAGTAGCTGGGACTACAGGCATCCTCCATCATGCTTGGCTAATTCTTGTACTTTTTTTTTTTTTTTTTTTTTTTTGACACGGAGACTTGCTCTGTCACTCAGGCTGGAGTACAATAGCGTGAACTCGGCTCACTGCAACCTCCACCTCCTGGTTTCAAGCAATTCTCTGTCTCAGCTTCCCTAGTAGCTGGGATTACAGGCGCCCACCACCATGCCTGGCTAATTTTTGTATTTTTAGGGAGACAGGGTTTCATCATCTTGATCAGGCCGGTCTTGAACTTCTGACCTCACGACCCACCCATCTCCATCTCACAAAGTGCTGGGTTTGTAGGTGTGAGCCACTGTGCCCAGCCGTTTTTGTACTTTTGTAGAGACGGGATTTCACCATGTTGGCCAGACTGGTCTTGAACCCCTGACCTCAGGTGATCCACCTGCCTTGGCCTCCCAAAGTGCTGAGATTACAGGCGTGAGCCACCACCCCAGCCTCTGAATCTTTCATGGAATGAATAAATAGAAGTTGATTGGGGTTCACTCCAAAAAGGATCTTAAGACAGCAAAGGTGTACAAGGCAGTGCAGAGGGTTGGAATGTCTCTGTTCATTTTCTGGGACCCTATGCTTCAGAACACAGGGTGGGGCTGTGGTCCTTACCCAGAAAGTCTTTTATTTTTTATTTATTTATTTTTTTGAGACGGAGTTTCGCTCTTGTTACCCAGGCTAGAGTGCAATGGCACGATCTCGGCTCACCGCAACCTCCGCCTCCTGGGTTCAGGCAATTCTCCTGCCTCAGCCTCCCGAGTAGCTGGGATTATAGGCACGCGTCACCATGCCCAGCTAATTTTTTTTTTTGTATTTTTAGTAGAGACGAGGTTTCACCATGTTGACCAGGTTGGTCTTGATCTCTCGACCTTGTGATCCACCCGCCTCGGCCTCCCAAAGTGCTGGGATTACAGGCTTGAGCCACCGCGCCCGGCCCAGAAAGTCTTTTAGTTAGATGAGGCTCCATATGGAACAACGGGGACTCCTCAAAAGGTCATTTGTCCATTTTTTGACCATACAGGAATGGATGGAGTGTGTTTAACTCTCCTCTCCCCCAGAGTAATGATTAGGTAACTGTTGAGAACTGTGAAGTCTGAGCTTTTACCCCATGTTAAACCCAGCAAGGTAGCCTGCTGCAGTTTTGTGGATGCTGGCAGAAGCATGAGACTTCTGTGCCTGAGACAAAGGATCATGTATTACCCTCAGCCGAAGCAGTAGCCACAGTACCAGCATTGCCCAAATCCCAGTACCCACAGGACAGTGTGAAGAGGGCCAGGAAGCTGAGCACGGAGTGGGCTGTGTTACAGGAGAGGACCCTGAGCACAGGGAACCTGAAGCTTTGATAATGGACAGTAAGCCTGCCTGCCCTTTTCTCCCAAGAAGACACTCTCTCTAGTTTCCAAGACTGTTCACTATATAAACATTCTTAAAAGATAATCTAAGGGCCGGGCGTGGTGGCTCACGCCTGTAATCCAAGCACTTTGGAGGCCAAGGTGAGCGGATCACCTGAGGCTGGGAGTTCAAGACCAGCCCGACCAACATGGTGAAACCCCGTCTTTAAAAAAAAAAAAAAAAAAAAAAAAAAGATAATCTAAAGCAAAAGGACAGATTGTGGTGTGCTTTACTCACAAAGTATGTGGAAAAGCAAGAGACTTAGGGAAAATGGACTCGTAGCAATATATTAAGCTCCACTGTCCCACACTCCCCCAGAAAGATTGCAGATAGTAGCCTAACCTGATGGCAAAGTCACATTATGTACTTCATCCAATAGCCACCCTAGTGATGGCCGGAAACCCAATATTTGTAGATTACTTTCTGGTTTTCAAGGTATTCTACTTACCTGCAACTCCTGTTCCATAAGACTCAATACAGCTAATGGTTCATTTAACTCATGTTTCCCAGAAATATGTTAATTATTTTCTAAATTGGTGCTTTTGTAAGAGGGGATGCTTGCAAGAGGATCAAAATCATCCTCTTCTTTGTACAGAGAAGAAACTGATGCTGTAGGAGGGCGAGGGACTCATCCCGGGTCACCAAAGGAGCATAGCTGCAGCCATTCCCTTTAGCTCCCCCTGGGCCTTAACTGTGAAGAGAGGTGGAGGTACCAGGTTAAATGGGAATACGTTGGGAGTCTCCTAGGAACAAGCTGCTTCTCTCTGGACCCCAGGGTCAGTGCCATGGCATATAGTAGCACTCTATAAATGCTCATTGAATTAAATTATATTGAATGGGACTGGGAGGATGATGAGGATGTGTCAGGCAGAGGGGCAGATTTGAGGACCATCAGCATATGTCACCTGGCTTTAAGGACAGTTGGAAAGAGGGTTCCGGAAACCTTGTGGTCTGGATAGTCCAGTAAACAACCATTACCTCAGGGCTGAGTAAATGCAAACCAAAAAAGCAAATACGCTTCTCTGGAAAGACCTGTCTGTGTTCCAGAGTAATGGGGAAACAGAACATCTAATAACACATTCCCACGTGCTAAGCACCTACTACGTGCTGAGCATTTTCCAGACACTCTCTAAGCCTCTTAATGACAATCATAGCTAACCCTTGGCTAGCACATGCTAGGCACGTGGTCTCACCACAACCCCACCAGACAGGTAATAACACGAATTGTTCCCACTTTACCAAATCGGGAAAAGTCACAGAGAGCTTCACTTGCCTGTGGTCACACAGGTCATAAGTGGCAGGGCCAAGGTTTTTCTGATTCCAAACCCACTTCTTGTTCTCTAAGCTCCAGCATCTGAGCAGGGAAGCATAATCCACCAGTGACTGCAGATTGGAGCTGTAATCAGTCAACACACCAGTAGATGTGTCCTCAGCACTTTTTGCACGTAAGATAGTGCTTTCGGGGCCTCAGGGGATCCAAAAGGAGAGAAAACATAGCTCTTGCCTTACTTTTCAGTCTTACGAAGAGGTTCCTGGGTTCCATCAGAGAGCAGCCTGGAACCCATGAAAACCATGAGGGCGGCCGGGCGCGGTGGCTCAAGCTTGTAATCCCAGCACTTTGGGAGGCCGAGGCGGGTGGATCACGAGGTCGAGAGATCGAGACCATCCTGGTCAACATGGTGAAACCCCGTCTCTACTAAAAATACAAAACATTAGCTGGGCATGGTGGCACGCGCCTGTAATCCCAGCTACTCAGGAGGCTGAGGCAGGAGAATTGCCTGAACCCAGGAGGCAGAGGTTGCGGTGAGCCGAGATCGCGCCATTGCACTCCAGCCTGGGTAACAAGAGTGAAACTCCGTCTCAAAAAAAAAAAAGAAAACCATGAGGGCAAAATATAATAAAGCTGGACGAGAGGACTATAGAAATATACATAGGGCCAGGAGCAGTGGCTAATGCCTGTAATCTCAGCACTTCGGGAGGCTGAGGCAGGTATATCACTTGAGCTCAGGAGTTCAAGACCAGCCTGGGCAACATGGGAAAACCCCATCTCTACTAAAAATATAAAAAATAGCTGGGTGTGGTGGTACATGCCTGTATTCCCAGCTACTCAGGAGGCTGAGGGGCAGGACAATCGCTTGAACCCAGGAGGCGGAGGTTGCAATGAGCTGAAATCACACCACTGAACTCCAGCCTGGGTGACCTAGTGAGACTCCATCTCAAAAAAAAAAAGGAAAGAAAGAAATATACACAAGGTCAGGCATGCTGACTCATGCCTGCAATCTAAGCACTTTGGGAGTCCAAGGTGGTGGAGTACTTGAGCCCAGGAGTTCAGGATCAGCCTGGGCAACATGGCAAAACCCTATCTCTACAAAAAATACAAAAATTGGCCAGATGTAGTGGCACACACCTATGGTCACAGCTACTCAGGAGGCTGAAGTAAGAGGATCACTTGGAGGCCGAGGTTGCAGTGAGTCACAATCATGCCACTCCACTCCAGCCTGGGTTGAGCAAGATTCTGTCTCAAAAAAAAAAAAAAAAAAAAAAAAAAAATCATACACACACACACACACACACACACACACACACACACACAGTATATATAAGAAAACCTATGGAAAATGGGAAATGATGGTCAATTTGTAATCAGAAAAATTACTACTGTACATTATATTTAAATCCTTTATCTCATTTTATTCCCACAAAAGCCCTGTGAGGTACACAGGATAAATCATTGTTTATTTAAAAAAAATTTTTTTGCCGGGCACGGTGGCTCATGCCTGTAATCCCAGCATTTTGGCAGGCCGAGGTGGGCTGATCACCTGAGGTCAGGAGTTTGAGACCAGCCTCACCAACAGTGAGAAACCCCATCTCTATTAAAAGAAAAAAAATATTTTTTGAGACAGATCTTGCTCTATTACCCAGGCTGGAGTGCAGTGGCATAATCTCGGCTCACTGCAACCTCTGCCTCCCACGTTCAAGCAATTATCCTGATTCAGCCTCCCGAGTAGCAGGTGCCCATGACCATGCCCAGCTAATTTTTATATTTTTTCTTTAGTAGAGATGAGGTTTAGTAGAGATGGGGTTTCATGTTGGCCGGGCTGGTCTCAAACTCCTGACCTCAAGTGATCTACCTGCCTTGACCTCCCAAAGTGCAGGGATTACAAGCACGAGCCACTTCACCTAGCCACAGTTGTTATATTAATTTTTAAGAGAAGAAAAACCAGCTGGCACAATGGCTCACGCCTGTAATATCAGCACTTTGGGAGACCAAAGCAGGAGGATTACTGGAGCTCAGGAGTTCAAGACCAGCCTGGGCAACATAGTGAGACTCCATTTCTACAAAAAGTAAAAAACTAGCCAGGCGTAGTGAGTCACACATGCCTGTGAGCTCAGCTACTTGGGAGGCTAAGGTGGAAGAATCACTTGATCCTGGAAGATTGATACTGCAGTGAGCTGTGATTGTGCCACTGCACTCCTGCCTGGGTAACACAGCAAGACCCCATCTTTAAAAGAGAAAGAGAAGAAAAACCAAGAATCAAGGAAGACAGTGACATGGCCTGAATCATGCGTTAGGAAACAGCACAACTAGAGTTTGGACTTGCTTTCTGATTCCAGCTCATTGCTGCGTCCACCAGTGATTACAGAAATGTCCTAGATGACTGTCAGTGTCTATAGATTAGAAATGACCACAGGACCTGCAACCAGAGACCGTGTTGAGGGAAGAGGGTTCTGGGTATCCTTAAACTGAAAATTTCAGAGGCATTGAGCAGACGAAGGCTTCCTGGAGACAGTCAGGCTGGGGCAGGCAGTAAGAAGCCATGATGCTTACGTTTAACCTTCATCTGTTCCATCATTCAACATTTATTAGCACATTCTTGGTGCTAGGCACTGGGGAGACAGGAACAAAAACACTTAGTCCCTGCCATCAACAATGTCACAATCCATGAGAAAGAGAAGTTGACAAGTTGCAATGCTAAGTGGTGAATACTGTGTTATGAATCCTGTGCCTGGGGACTTAGAGAATGTTTTAGGGAAGATGTGGGATCTGACTAGTCATGAAAGAGCAGAATTTTGCCAAGCAGAGAAGGTTATGTCCCATACCAAGGGCAGGAGATTCAGATCAGTGGCTGTGTTCCTGAGAAGTCTCTGATGAGCACACCCAGGCTGGAGAGGGGGTCCTTCCCCATTGGCAGCACCTGACAACATTCCTGTGGCTCTACATGCAGGGAGGCCAGACTGCGCTGATGCTGGGAGTCAGCCACGACAGGGAGGACATGGTTCAAGCGCTGCTTAGCTGCCAGGCAGATGTCAACCTGCAGGACCACGAGGGATCCTCGGCCCTCATGCTGGCCTGTCACCATGGTAACGTGGACCTGGTGCGGCTGCTCCTGGCACACCCGGCCTGTGACAGCAGCCTGACTGACAAGGTAAGACTTACATGCAATTAACAAGTAGCTGTTAGGCCGGGCGCGGTGGCTTAAGCCCGTAATCCCAGCACTTTGGGAGGCCGAGGTGGGTGGATCACGAGGTCAAGAGATCGAGACCATCCTGGTCAACATGGTGAAACCCCGTCTCTACTAAAAAAAATACAAAAAATTAGCTGGGCATGGCGGCGCGTGCCTGTAATCCCAGCTACACAGGAGGCTGAGGCAGGAGAATTGCCTGAACCCAGGAGGCGGAGGTTGCGGTGAGCCGAGATCGCGCCATTGCACTCCAGCCTGGGTAATAAGAGCGAAACTCTGTCTCAAAAAAAACAAAAAAAACAAAAAAAAAAAAGTAGCTGTTGTTGGTCAGGGTAGCTCATGTCTGTAATCCCAGCAGTTTGGGAGGCTGAGGTGGGAGGATCACTTTGAGCCCAGGAGTTCGAGACCAGCCTGGACAACACAGGGAGACCCCATCTCTTAAAAAAAAAAAAAAAGTAGCTGTTTAATTTACCCTCCTGAAGAGTGTCTTGCAAGCCAGCAGAATTCAAGGAACCCTATGGCAGTGCAACAAAATCAGCCTCCTAAGGCTGTTGTGGAATTTAAATAAAAGGTCCAGCACAGTGGCTTACATCTATAATCCCAGCACTTTTTCGGAGGCTGAGGTGGGAGGATTGCTTGAGGCCAAGAGTTCAAGGCCAGCCTGGGCAACACAGTGAGACCCTGTCTCTTAAAAAAAAAATTAGGCTGGGTGCGGTGGCTCAAGCCTGTAATCCCAGCACTTTGGGAGGCCGAGGCGGGTGGATCACAAGGTCAAGAGATCGAGACCATCCTGGTCAACATGGTGAAACCCCGTCTCTACTAAAAATACAAAAAATTAGCTGGGCATGGTGGTGCGTGCCTGTAATCCCAGCTACTCAGGAGGCTGAGGCAGGAGAATTGCCTGAACCCAGGGGGCGGAGGTTGCGGTGAGCCGAGATCATGCCATTGCACTCCAGCCTGGGTGACAAGAGCGAAACTCCGTCTCAAAAAAAAAAAAAAAAAAAAAAAAAAAAAAATTAAAAAAAAAATTAACCAGGCATAGTAGTGCATGCCTGTAATTCCCACCTACTTGAGAGGCTGAGGCAGGAGGATTGCTTGAGCCCAGAAGGTGGAGGCTGCAGTGAGCCATGATCAGGTCACTACGCTCCAGCCTGGGTGACAGAGTGAGACCCTGTCTCTAAAAAATTTAAAAATTAATAAATGAGATGATTCATGGTAAATGTTTGGAGTCCTAGAGCTGCGAAACCCACAACCCTAGCTTTTCATAACACTATTCTCGGCTAACGTGCCCTGGCTTGGCGTGGCCCTGATCCTCATCTGGTCATGGCAATAACAGCATGTGGGCTTTTGAGGCAGTAGCTTAGATGGGGAAGCTCTGCTGTCCAGTAGGGACTCAAAAGCCTTCAGAAAGAATCAACCTTACAGAGTCATCTCTAGTCATTTAACTGCAAGTGCGTGTTTGGACGTTGACCCACTTTATGAAGCAGCCCATTCCATCAAGTCAGCCTACTTAAAGTTACACTGTCAGTCACAGGCTTCTTAAATAAACTTCCTCGAAAGATGGTGGCCATGATGCTGATGACAGTAGTAACTAATCAATAACAATAGTAACTGTCCGGGCACGGTGGCTCATGCCTGTAATCCCAGCACTTTGGGAGGCCGAGGCGGGTGGATCATGAGGTCAAGAGATCGAGACCATCCTGGTCAACATGGTGAAACCCCGTCTCTACTAAAAATACAAAAAATTAGCTGGACATGGTGGCACATGCCTGTAATCCCAGCTACTTGAGAGACTGAGGCAGGAGAATTGCTTGAACCTAGGAGGCGGAGGTTGCAGTGAGCCGAGATCATGCCATTGCACTCATGCCTGGGCAACAAGAGCAAAACTCCGTCTCAAAAACAAAACAAAACAATAGTAACTAACACGTATGGAGGGCTTACTCTGTGTCAGGTAGTGTACTAAGCATTTGCCAGGGACCATCTCATTTAAACCCCACAACAACCTTGTAAGGTTGACTATCTTCCTGCTGCCCCACTTTGCTCAAGGAGACAGGCATCAGATGGTTAGGTTACATATGCAAAAGACTACTCAGCTAGTGGAACCCGGCTCCATTAAACGCCTGGGCCCATATCCTTAACTGTTCCATCATCATGACTGTTGTCACATTGAAGCATCCATGTCTCTGGCTCCCTGCTGAATCCCCAACACCTAGTAGAGTGCCTGCCACATATCATTGAATCAATCAACAAATGAGTGTGTGAAACCACTAAACTTTGGAAGTAAGCAACAGTAAGTGATCTTGTTTCTGATAATTACGGTAGATAAAATAATATTTCTAGAGTGCTCCTGGGAACTAACCCTTTCCCATGTGTTACCTCTAATCCTCTCAGTAATCCAGTGAGATAGTGATCCCCACTTTTTACTGATGAGAAAACAGGCCTGAAGATGTTATGTAACTGTCCTAAGATTTACAAGCTACTGATTCTTAGAGCAGAGATTCAAGCCCAGGTGTGACTCTAGTACCTTAATGTTGGTACTGTAATTTAATGATTTAAGCAGATGTTTTTATGCTTTCTTAACAGCCACAATTCAAAGGGAACAAAAGCCTGGAGAGGGGAAGACAGTCCTCTCCCTGCCCAGGGACAGTACCTCTTACCTAGCCACATTTAAACTCCCCAGAGATTGACTCATCAGCAATTCAAGCTGCTGAGTCCTTCAGTCACACCCAAACAGCAGGCACCCATCCAGTGACTCTAGGTCCTGTGAACCCCAGCTTCACTCCAAAGCCATTTCCAAGATCATTAGAGAGCACAGACCTTGGCCTTCATATGGGAACAGGGATGGGCTATGGGAAACCAGAGAGCCTCCTTTTCCAAATGCGATGTGGCCTGACAAAAGATTTATGTTAATGAGCTCTCTGCTGGGTTGTCCTGGGAGAGAAGGAGGCAGCCCTTAATCCGGAACAGGCCTGTATATCAAAGGCCCCTGGCCCTCTAACAAGTGACCACTGCTGATGCCCGAAGAGGCCTGAGAGTGGAGGCCCATGGGTCAGGCAGGCAGGCGTGAGCTTTGGAAGTCCCTGGTTAGCTGGATAATCAGGCAGTGGATCTGAAAGCTCTCCTGGGTATCTCTGGAGAGCTGTCACAGGTATAAGAGCACTAAGTGGCAGCTTTCTGGTGGTAGAAGAGTTGTGGGATCTGTTGCATTTCAGACAACTCAAGCATGATTGTTGGAAGCATGGACTTTAAACGCTCATGAGGCCAGGTGTAGTGGCTCATGCCTGTAATCCCGACATTTTGGGAGGCCAAGTCAGGAGGGTTGTTTGAGCCCAGGAGTTTGAGACCAGTCTCGGCAACAAAGTGAGATCCCCTGTATTAGTCCATTACATCCCTGAGACTGGGCAGTTTACAAAAGAAAGAGGTTTAATTGGATTTCCACATGGCTGGGGAAGCCTCAAAATCATGGTGGAAGGCAAGGAGGAGCAAGTCATGTCTTACATGGATGGCAGCATCTTACATGGATGGCAGCAGGCAAAGAGAGGGCTGGTGCAGAGAAACTTCCCCTTATAATAGCCATCAGATCTTGTGAGACTTATGCACTGTAACAAGAACAGCACAGGAAAGACCTGCCCCCGTGCTTCAGTTATCTCCCACCCGGTCCCTCCCACAACACATGGGAATTCAAGATAAGATTTGGGTGGGGACACAGCCAAACCATATCACCCCCTCTCTACAGAAAATAGAAAGAAAATAGCCAGGCGTGGTGGCATGCACCTGTAGTCCCAGCTACTCGGGAGGCTGAGGCAGGAATATTGTTTGAGCCTGGGTAGTTGAGGGTACAGTGAGCCATGATTGTGCCAGGGAACTCCTACCAGAGTGACAGAGTGAGAGCCTGTCTCAAACAAAAAAAGTTAAATGCTCATGAGTTCAAATCTAGGTTCAGTGACTTTGGGTAGGTGCCATTGGGTAGGTGACCTGACTCTTCTGGGCCTCTAGATGCTCATCTGTAAAATGGGAACAGCAGTAGACTCTACCTAAATACTATAATGTTTATAAAGGCTGTCTCTGACATCTGGGAGTTCACAGTAGATGGTAACCATTTGAATTACGAACAGATGAACAGTGATGGCTAAAAACACCACATCACCCAGCAGGGACCTTGGCATTTACAGACAGTGTCTGGAGAGAGTAGGAAGAACAAAGTTCTGGAGTTAGGGGAGCCAATCAGACAGGGAGACCAGCCCCCGAAGGGAGAAGCTACTGACAGACTTGGTTCAGGCCGGTGGTTCTCAGCCAGGGGTGATTTTGCCCTCTGGGAAGATTTGGCAATGTCTGGGGACATTTTTAGTCACAAGTCGGGGAGAGAATGCTCCTGACATCTAGTGGGTAGAGTCCAGGGATGTGGCTAGACATCCTGCAATGCACAGGAACAGCAAAGAATTAACAATTATCCAGCTGGGCACAGTGGCTCAAGCCTGTAATCCCAGCCCTTTTGGAGGCCAAAGAGGACAGATCACTTAAGGTCAGAAGTTCAAGACCAGCCTGGCCAACATTTTGAAACCCCGTCTCTACTAAAAACACAAAAATGAGCCAGGTGTGGTGGCACACATCTGTAATCCCAGCTACTCGGGAGGCTGAGACAGGAGAATTGCTTGAACCTGGGAGGTGGATGTTGCAGTGAGTCGAGATCGTGCCACTGCACTCCAGCCTGGGTGAAAGAGCAAGACTCCATCTCAAAAACAAACAAACAAAATAAACAATCTTCTGGTCCAAAATATCAGTAGTGCTGCCATTGAGAATGCCTGGTTTAGGCAAGCACTGAAATCCAGGTGGGTTTAAGTAACCAGTCCTGGTGAAGTGCTGGATCAGGGAGAGCCAGGCCAGGCTGAGGACTGGGCCGGCTGGAGCTCGGGGCGGGCTGTAAGCCTGGAAGGGAGGGCCTGGAGTGCTAATCAGGAGATGAAGGAGGAAATCTATCATGGCAAAAGCTGGAGTGAGTTAGGGAAAGCCCAGCCAGCACAGTGGTGCCCAGGTAATGCAGGTAATGGGCCCACAGGTAAGGTGGGTTCTAGACCCCACCCATGGATGGGTCACATGCTGCCCACCTGAGTCAGGGTTGATTCACATGCAGATTCTCAAGGGTGACTTTGGTGAGCACAGTGTCTACATCCCCAGGATGAGACATTTCGGTGGAAAAGGGAGCTTCTGACAAGGCCGTGCCAAGTACCAAGGCTTGTACTTGGTGCTTCACATTTCGGGGGAAAGTCTGGCTCTGATCTCACCCTTTATCATTTCCATATTCATCTTTCCTATGGAAGCTTAGATGTTAACAGCAGGACTTATTTGGGAATGCCCTTGGAAAACTGGGAGAGAATTCCTGTCCTGAAAGTGGTTTATTTCATCAACATTTAAAGTTTGATATAAATGCAGAACTCCCAGAACAGTTGGCCAGGCCCTTAACTAGGTTTACAGGCAGTTTGAGGAAATCCCATCACCCAGCCTCTTCCGGGCCCCAGAGCCCACCCTTTATTTTGGCAGCTTCTTTAAAGCATCCATCAGATCGAAAACTTCTTAAAGGCAGAGAGTATGCCTTGCTCGTCTTTGTGTGATACATAGTGAGCTCGTGATGAGTTCTCATTGTATTCAAAGACGCCCCCTCCAACACATGCACACACACACAGTTGTGCCAGCTGCCTAGACCCTGCCTTTTTTGTTTGTTTGTTTTGAGATAGGGTCTTGCCCTGTCGCCCAGACTGGAATGCAGTGGCACAATCAAGGCTCATTGCAGCCTTGACTTCCTGGGCTCAAGTGATCTTCCCGCCTCAGCCTCCCAAAGTGCTGGGATTACAGGCATGAGCCACTGCGCCTGGCCAAGTACAGATTTTGAATCCCTGAAGTTACCCATAAATTTTACACCATACCCGGCTAGTCCCCCATTTCTTCAGTCGGGGTCTCCTAGACCAGCTCCGGAGTGTCGCCGAGCAGCGTTCGCCATACCTGGCTCCCACATGAGCTACATGGCATGAGCTTATTCCCAGAGTTCTGGCAGAGGCGTCAGAGGGACACTCCCCCTCGCGAAGTGGTCTCTCTGGCCACACCTCCTAAACTGTTCCTCCTCTGTTCTCCGTGTCTGCAGTCAAGGAGCCCACAGCTGCAGGCTATCCTCCAGAGGGACCCTGGACTGGCCCTGCGGCTCTTCCCCCTCAACACTGTCAGCATGGACTCTGTGTTTACATAGAGCCTCAGGATTGACAAGGCACAGCAGATGGAGCTCAGGAGCAGGAACTCTGGCCTAAGCAAACCCAGGCCCCTCCTTTAGGAGGCTTTTACAGGACTCCCGGCTTAAAGTCTTTGCTTTGTTCCAGTACTTTCCAATGTACGAACACATTTGCTAGGATTTAGATTCCATCAGCTTGAAATGAATACCGTTATGTTCTCGTGCAGGATCCTCTTTTTCAGCAGTGCTTGATGAGGGCCGGCCAAACGCCAGGCCCTGGGCCGGGGCCGGCACGCAGCAATGGACAGGCCAAATCAGCTTCCTGACCTCACGGAGACCAAAATTTATCAAATAACCCCACAAATACCAGCATGTAACAAGTGGTAAAAGAAAAGTCCAGGGAGTCGGGCCGGGTGCGGTGGCTCAAGCCTGTAATCCCAGCACTTTGGGAGGCCGAGGCGGGTGGATCACGAGGTCAAGAGATCGAGACCATCCCGGTCAACATGGTGAAACCCCGTCTCTACTAAAAATACAAAAAACTAGCTGGGCGTGGTGGCGCGTGCCTGTAATCCCAGCTACTCAGGAGGCTGTGACAGGAGAATTGCCTGAACCCAGGAGGCGGAGGTTGCGGTGAGCTGAGATCGCGCCATTGCACTCCAGCCTGGGTAACAAAAGCGAAACTCCGTCTCAAAAAAAAAAAAAAAAAAAAAGTCCAGGGAGTCATGAGGGCTTTTTGGGGAAAGAACTTTGTATGTTTTGAGAAGCCCATGTGCCATCTTTGGGGTCCCACTGAAATGCCACTCCCTTCCTCTGCCTCCCCCTGAGCCATCTTCTACCTGCCCTGGCACACAGTGGCTGTCCTCTCCCTTGAGCTCACTCTGTGCCTGTCCTCTGACTCGTTTAGTGCTTTGCCATATGCTTTATGGTTATTTGCACGTGTGGGGAGCCCTGATGGTCCCTGGATTCCATCCCCATGCATGGGAAAAAAACCTGAAGAGTGTTAAGCTGGGTGTGAACACTTCCTACCTGCTTCTGTGAAAGAACTGTTCGTATTTGAGGAAGTAAATCTGTGCATAGGCAGTAGAGAACAATCTAGTGGGGCCTTGGGTGTCCCCTACCCATCAGACCCTTTATAGCAGCAAAATGTCAAAATATTCACAGTAGGCCAACAGCCTCAGGTCAGGTCTCAGCTCCCAGTAAGTTACCTAAAAACTGTGGTTTTTGGACTTGTTTAGAGTTCAGAATTCTAGGTGCAGGAGTGAGCTCATTCGTGAGAGACTGTGGCTGCTCAGTCAAGTGGGTGGTGCCTGATGAGAGCCCCCCTGGTGCAGCTTCTTTAGACAGTGGAACTGCCAGCTTCCTGCATTGCTATGGCAGTGTAAAGAGTGCTATGGCATCACAGAGCAGGAAGTAAAAATGTGCATGCCCTTCAATGCTCTGAGCCCGCTTCTAAGAGTCAGGAAATAATTACAAATAGGAAAATGCGGAGGCAGGGCGTGGTGGCTCACACCTATAATCCTAGCACTTTGGGAGGCCGAGGTGGGCAGATCACCTGAGGTCAAGAGTTCGAGACCAGCCTGACCAACATGGAGAAACCATGTCTCTACTAAAAATACAAAAAATTAGCTGGGCATGGTGGCACATGCTTGTAATCCTAGCTACTCGGGAGTCTGAAGCAGGAGAATTGCTTGAACCCAGGAAGTGGAGGTTGCGGTGAGTCAGGATCGTGCCATTGCCCTTCAGCCTGGGCAACAAGAGTGAAACTCCGTCGCAAAAAAAAAAAAAAAAAAAAAAAGGGAAAATGCTTTTTGAACTAAGATTATTATGGCAGAGACTTAGAATCAACAAAAATTTCCATTGAAAAGAAATATTTCCATAATTAGTTTAAAAAGTAGTAAATTATGGAGTATTATACAGCCAAAAAGAAATATCATGCATTATAATGGTCATGTAAGAATAGAGAAAAATCTTACAGCATACTGTGGTAAATTAAGAATAAAAGCAAATTTGCTGGGTACGGTGGCTCACGTGTGTAATCCTAGTACTTTGGGAGGCCGAGGTGGGTGGATCACCTGAGGTCAGAAGTTCAAGATCAGCCTGGCCATCAGGGTGAAACCCCATCTTAAAAAAAAAAAAAAAGAATAAAAGCAAATTCAAAGTTGGTATACAACATCACTCCTTTATTTAAAAACCAACAACAGGACAGGTGTGGGACAGGACAGGATTACAAATTCATGCCTGTAATCCCAAAACTTTGCAAGGCCAATGTGGAAGGGTCATTTGAGCCCAGGAGTTCAAGACCAGCCTAAGCAACATAGTGAGACCCTGTCTCTACAAAAAATTTAAAAACAAACAAAAATAAACCAACAAGTTTGCACGGGAGAAAAGATTGGAGGAAAACACCCCAAAATGCTAACTTTCACTTAGACACATGTAATGGAATAGCAAGAGTTATTTTATTTCCTGTTTGCCAATCTGAACAGGAAAAAAGTGGGGCTGGGCTCAGTGGCTCACACCTGTAATCCCAGCACTTTGGGAGGCCGAGGTGGATGGATCAGTTAAGCCCAGGAATTTGAGATCAGCCTGGGCAACATGGTGACACCCCATCTCTACACAAAATGCAAAAATCAGCTGGGCGTAGTGGTGTGCACCTGTAATCCCAGCTACTTGGGAGGCTGAAGGTGGAGGACCACCTGAGGTTGCAGTAAACTGTGATTGTGCCACTGCACTCCATCCTGGACGATAGAATAAGACTCCATCTCAAAAAAAAGAGCATTAAAAACCAGTTTACTCTTTTTTATTTCCACTATCACAGATTTCCCAGGAATCACTATTGCTTCTGCGGAGTGGGCTACATTGCTGGTGATCCTCATGTCATTTCAATCTTCTCCTCTACCGGGATCTCTGAATGCCTGGAATAGACACCTATATCCCAGGCATCCCCCCTACTCCCAACTTGCCCTTCCCCCCTGGGTAGGAGGCAGATTGGATGATATTTATTTCTCCTTTCCTTTTTCTCCTGTAGGCTGGCCGCACAGCTTTGTCCATTGCTCTGAAGTCACCCACCCATATGGAAATTGCTGGGCTTCTGAGAGCCCACGCGGAGCAGGGCAGGTCCCTGGGGCTGTAGGGGCTGCAGAAGAACTGGCAGCCGGGAACAAAAGCCTTCTTCTCTGGACTCCTCCCTCGCCCTTGGAGAAGGCAGAGGTCACAGGCCAGAGAGCCACCCCTCAAGAGAAGAAACTATGCGAAATATGCACATACATTCCTGTTGTGTAATTCTGCTCATTAAGATGCTTTGTAGTTTTTGCCTTAGGCCAAGCCCCAAAACTACATGGGCTTCAGAGGAGGGTTCAAAGTGCAAGGCTGAGGGGTATCTTGGTGTCATCCAAACATCCAAAACATCTTCGGCCTTGAATTCCTCCTGACTCTACCTTCTGCAGCATTGTGTAGCAAGCAGGCAGGCAGGAGCACAGTAGCACATTAGAAAAGCAATACTTTTTACGTGGAATTTTAAAGTGCACTATCTTTTTATTTTTAAGCAAGAGTATACAATTATGTCCCATTGATATGCATGTCTAGAGATGGGAGGGGATTTAAGCCAACCTCCTGGCAAGCATTCTGGAGAGGACCCCAGGAGAATCACCATGCAGACTGGTGAAACTGAACAAGCCCCAGCTGGGAGCTTTGTTTCAATGGGGTTGACAGAGAAATCTTAAATTCAGACAAGGCAGGAAGTCTCAACTATTTCTCAGTCATCTAGTGGCTCCAGTTTGCTCTAGGGAAATTGGAATTAACTAAGAAATTTATTATCTAGTAGTTTGCTATGTAATAAAATTAAAAAAAAGAAATTGAATCCAGTGACACACACCACATGTATTTGGGCAGAGTCAGGGTCCATCAGCTATTCTGAGTCTGTGAAAGAAACAAAAGAAAGCTTCCTCCTGAGGATGGGTTATGGTCATCGAGAAGCTACCACATTTCCTGCATAGCCGTATCCATTCCCTTATGGTACCTCCTGGTGCCTTCCCCTCATATCCCCTAGAAGCACATATCTGTTCTGAGGTTTTCTGGGACTTCTGGCTGCAGAGCCTTCCAGCCTTGGATGCATCAGGAGCAAGGGAGCCAGGCAGGGAAGGGCAATTCTTTCCGAAGCTTCCATATTCCCTGGGGCCGGCACATGCAAGGTTCATATGGTCAGTAGCTCACGTCAGGTCATCTGAATGTGCTCTTCCTTAAAACCTCTTTTTTTTTTTTTCTTTTTTCTTTTTTTTTTTTTTTGAGACAGAGTTTCGCTCTTGTTACCCAGGCTGGAGTGCAATGGCGCGATCTCGGCTCACCGCAACCTCCGCCTCCTGGGTTCAGGCAATTCTCCTGCCTCAGCCTCCTGAGTAACTGGGATTACAGGCACGCGCCACCATGCCCAGCTAATTTTTTGTGTTTTTAGTAGAGACGGGGTTTCACCATGTTGACCAGGATGGTCTCGATCTCTTGACCTCGTGATCCACCCGCCTCGGCCTCCCAAAGTGCTGGGATTACAGGCTTGAGCCACCGCGCCCGGCCCCTTAAAACCTCTTATGAAAAAAATATATATATATCCCTTATATAAAAAGAAGTAATGTCAGGCTGGGCACAGTGGCTCACACCTGTATTCCCAGCACTTTAGGAGGCTGAGGTGGGTGGATCACCTGAGGTCAGGAGTTTGAGACCAGCCTGGCCAACATGGTGAAACCCATCTCTACTAAAAATACAAAAATTAGCCAGATGTAGTGGCGCTCACCTGTAATCCCAGCTACTCTGGAGGCTGAGGCAGGAAAATCGCTTGAACCCAGGAGGTGGAGGTTGCGGTGAGCCAAGATTGTGCTATTGCACTCCAGCCTGAGCAACGAGAGCAAAACTCCATTTCCAAAAAAAAAAAAAAAAAAGAACTGCTGTCAATGTTTGATGAGCTTTATATTGGAAACTCAAAAGTGTATGCTCTCATTTTGGCTGGGATGCCGATTTGCTGGGTGCCCCTGTGGTGACTCATGAAACCTCCTTGGGCCCCAGTTTCATCATCTCTAAAAACAGAAATTATCATCCAACCTACCTCCTTGGGGGAGCAGTGCTACACAAGGAGCAGCTGATGGAAGTTTTGAAATCCAATTTGTAACTCATTAAGGCCATCTACAGAAATGGAACAGCAAACTTCCTTATGCCATTGTGATTCATAAGAGAGGCTCAGAGCCCCAGAACAACACGACATGTGTTGATACAACTCAGAGGTGGAGGGAATGGAGCAAATAAGGAGCAAAAAAAATGCTTTAAATTGATTTATTTTGACCTCAAAATACATTGCAAGAGCAACATCCTACATTAATAAATGTTCTAGCCCAGTGCTTCCCGAACATTTATGTACATACAGATCACTTGGGATCTTGTTAGAAGGCAGTAGGTTGGGGGTGGGGCCTGGGAGTCTGCATTTCTAACCAGTTCCAGGGAGATGCTGATGCTATCAGGCCACAATCACGCTTTGAGTAGCAAGTCTCTGGCCTATCCTTATTATTTGTGATATTAAAATGCTGCCTCTCAATCTTCTGTCTCAAAATTTCTTTGCGTTTCTCTGCTCTTGGTTCTTGGGAATTTGCAGGGTGGGTCTTATTTGCTGTTGTCTCTGCAGACAGCTGTAGGGGTCTGCGTCCTGTGTTGCCAGTTTAGGATTCATTTCTGCATCTCATATTAGGTGGCAACTTCAACTGGGTCACTTTAAAAAAATTGAATCAGGGCCGGGCGTGGTGGCTCACACCTGTAATCCCAGCACTTTGGGAGGCCAAGGTGGGTGGATCACGAGGTCAAGAGATCGAGACCATCCTGGTCAACATGGTGAAACCCCGTCTCTACTAAAAATACAAAAAATTAGCTGGGCATGGTGGCGCGTGCCTGTAATCCCAGCTACTCAGGAGGCTGAGGCAGGAGAATTGCCTGAACCCAGGAGGCGGAGGTTGCGGTGAGCCGAGATCGCGCCATGGCACTCCAGCCTGGGTGACAAGAGCGAAACTCCGTCTCAAAAAAAAAAAAAAGAAAGAAAAAAAAAAAGAAAGAATGAAATATCCCTAACTTATTTATAGACTTGGGTGTGGCTGTTGTATAATAAAATCTTTAGACTTCTTCAATGTCTCATTTAAAGTGTGAGACTCCTCAGTCCTCTTTCTCAGGCTTTCAGAGAACACAGTATTGTCAGTTTCATATAACTCATAAGCCTTAACATTCTAACATTCTTTTTTTTTTTTTTTTTTTTTTTTTTTTTGAGACGGAGTTTTGCTCTTGTCACCTAGGCTGGAGTGCAATGGCGCGATCTCGGCTCACCACAACCTCCGCCTCCTGGGTTCAGGCAATTCTCCTGCCTCAGCCTACTGAGTAGCTGGAATTACAGGCACGTGCCACCATGCCCAGCTAATTTTTTGTATTTTTAGTAGAGATGGGGTTTCACCATGTTGACCAGGTTGGTCTCGATCTCTCAACCTTGTGATCTACCCGCCTCAGCCTCCCAAAGTGCTGGGATTACAGGCTTGAGCCACCGCGCCCAGCCAAGCTTTAACATTCTTTAATGTCTGCTTTTCCCACTAGGACCATAAACTTTATCAAGTCAAGGAATGTCTCTCTTGGCATAAAACTATTCGGCCACTGGTACTGAGTTCACATCCTCCAATATTACAGTGAAAAGACAGATGGACGTTATTGTCCTTACCAGCCTGGAATTTTGCTGCCTGGTTTTTATATTAACATATAAGAAACGTAAATGTTTGTACACTATCAAATAAAAACTAATAATATAAAAGTCAAAAATAGGCATTTTTTAGTATCTCTAAGTCCCAGCCAGGCATGGTGGCTCATGCCTGTAATCCCAGCACTTTGGGAGTCCAAGGCGGGTGGATCACCTGAAGTCAGGAGTTTGAGACCAGCCTGGCCAACATGGTGAAACCTCGTCTGTACTAAAAATACAAAAAATTGTCCAGGTGTGATGGTCCATGCCTGTAATCCCAGCTACTTGAGAAGCTGAGGCAGGATAATCGCTTGAACTCAGGAGGCAGAGGTTGCAGTGAGCTGAAGTCATGCCACTGCACTCCAGCCTAGGCAACAGAGTAAGTCTTTGTCTCAAAAAAAAAGAAGAGAGAAAGAACAAAAGATATTAATCAGCAATTCACAGAAGACAAACTCTAAATGGCTGAAAAATATATGGAGAGATTCTCAACTTCACTGATGCTGGAAATAGATGCTTGGTGCCACAAAGAAAAATTAGCACTGAGACAAAGGATCTTTCAGCAATGCAGTTTTTACTTCCTGGACTGCACGAAGGGTACCCTCACTAGCCATCATGCCATGAAAGTATAACGTGCAAAGGAAAACCCACAAATGTATCCCTTATGCATTTGGGGTCATCCTTACTGCTGTGTCTGATCTCTGTTGGCTGGAGCCAGGCCTCACAATCTAAACTAAAACCCTATTGGCTAATAATTTAAAACTTTTCTGGCTGGGCGAGGTGGCTCACGCCTGTAATCTCAGCACTTTGGGAGGCCGAGGCAGGTGTCGCTTGAGGTCAGGAGTTCGAGATCAGCTTGGCCAACATGGTGAAACTCTGTCTCTACTAAAAATACAAAAATAAGCCAACCGTGATGGCCCATGACTGTAATCCCAGCTCCTTGGGAGGCTGAGGTAGGAGAATTGCTTGAACCCAGGAAACGGAGGTTGCAGTGAGCCAAGGTCACGCCATTGCACTCCAGCCTGGGCAACAAGAGCAAAGTTTTGTCTCAAAAGAAAGAAAAAGAAAGAAAAAGAGGAAAAGAAAGAAAGGAAAGAAAGAAAACTTTTAAAAAGGAACTTTTCTACGTCCCACAACTAATCAAACAAATACAAATTAAAACAAAGCGATATGGTTTTGTGATGATAAAAATGAGAATGCGGGCCGGGCGCGGTGGCTCAAGCCTGTAATCCCAGCACTTTGGGAGGCCGAGGCGGGTGGATCACGAGGTCGAGAGATCGAGACCATCCTGGTCAACATGGTGAAACCCCGTCTCTACTAAAAATACAAAAAATTAGCTGGGCGTGGTGGCGCGTGCCTGTAATCCCAGCTACTCAGGAGGCTGAGGCAGGAGAATTGCCTGAACCCAGGAGGTGGAGGTTGCGGTGAGCCGAGATCGCGCCATTGCACTCCAGCCTGGGTAACGAGAGCGAAACTCCGTCTCAAAAAAAAAAAAGAGAATGCCAGGGAGGATACAGGGAAATACATATTTCATCCTAGGCCTTCAGGTAGAAGAAACAATGGTCAAAGCATACATGACAATAGAACTCTGACCAACAACTTCTGCAGCAATCACTGGGGAAGCCAGACCACAACCTTTGCAGCAATTGGCCCCAAATGGTCAGAGCTGGTCAGTGACGGCCAATTTCCCTATTTTTTTTTCCCCCTATGTTTGCTCCGATTTCCAACTCAGGACCAAGCAGAGAAAACCAGATAGGCTCCTCAAAGTCATCACGTAAGAAGTCTGGCTTAGAGGTAGCTTCCCCATGCCAACAGCTTCCAATCAGAGGACATAAACACCTTCTTGTTTCATTATGAAGCTTTTCCACTCCCCCGACTGCCCCTGAGTCTCTGCTAAGCAGTAGTGATGGTGACTGCCTCCTTTGCCAGAGCAAAGTCTAAATTATTTATTTGCGTGTGTTTTGTTCGTTTGTTTTTAGACAGAGTTTTGCTCTTCTTGCCCAGATTGGAGTGCAATGGTGCGATCTCAGCTCACTGCAACCTCTGCCTCTTGGGTTCAGACGATTATCCTGCCTCAGCCTCCTGAGTAGCTGGGATTACAGGCCTACGCCACCACGTCTGACTAATTTTGTATTTTTAGTAGAGACGGGGTTTCACCATGTTGGCCAGGCTAGTCTCAAACTCCTGGCCTCCAGTGATCCACCCGCCTGGGCCTTCCAAATTGCTGGGATTACAGGCGTGAGCCACCACGCTCTCTCAAGCAAGGTCTAAATACATAGCCTGGGTTTCTCTCCATTTGCGTGATCTTCATTCATTTTCATGGTACTACACTCACTTATATAAATTAAGAACACATTCGGCCGGGCTCAGTGGCTCAAACCTGTAATCCCAGCACTTTGGGAGGCCAAGGCAAGTGGATTACCAGGTCAGGAGTTCGAGATCAGCCTGGCCAAAATGGCAAACTTCCATCTCTACCAAAAATACAAAAATTAGCTGGTGCAATGACAGGCACCTGTAATCCCAGCTACTTGGGAGGCTGGAGTCGCTTTATCCTGGGAGGGGGAGGTTGCAGTGAGCTGAGATCTGGCCACTGCATTCTAGCCTGGGTGACAAAGCTGGACTCCATCTCAAAAAAAAAAAAAAAAAAAAAAAGAACATACCCACAAAATGATGGATTTTAGAAGAAACACATGTCTCCAACGATTTATATGACACAAAGAGTAGGTGAATACTGGGAGGCAGGGGAAGAATGAGTGAGGACTGAGGATAAAGGGGAAAATCAAGAGAGGGACCCTGCCTAGACTTGATTGAGTAGCAGGGAGAAAAGATTCTCAACTCTATCTACTTCTTGCACTGTAATTCTCTTTTCTTTTCCCTCAGCCTTGGAAAAAAGCAGCTTAATTACTGTATTCAAATAAGTCCCACAAGGAAAGAGGAGTCTCGACTTAGTATAAATATGTCAAAGTGGTTAGGCAAGGTGGCTCACACCTGTAACCAGCACTTTGGGATGTTAAGGCGGGCTGATTGCTTGAGCCGGGAGTTCAAGACCAGCCTGGGCAACATGGTGAAACCCCTTCTCTATAGAAACATCAAAAAATTAGCTGGGCATGGTGGTGCATGCCTATGGTTCCAGCTATTTGGGAGGCTGAGGCAGGAGGATCATTGAGCCTGGGAGGTTGATGAGGCAGTTAGCCATGATTGTGCCACTGCACTCCAGCCTGGGTGAGAGTGAGACCTTGCCTCAAAAGTAAATAAGTAAGTCAGGCCGGGCACGGTGGCTTCATGCCTGTAATCCCAGCACTTTGGGAGGCCAAGGCGGGCGGATCACCTGAGGTTCAGAGTTCGAGACCAGCCTGACCAATATGGTGAAACCCTGTCTCTAAAAAAAATAAAAATAAGACAGAGAAAATGTGGCATATATACACCATGGAATGCTATGCAGCCATAAAAAACGATGAGTTCGTGTCCTTCGTAGGGACATGGATGAACCTGGAAACCATCATTCTCAGCAAACTGACACAGGAACAGAAAATTAAACACTGCATGTTCTCACTCACAGGCGAGCGTTGAACAATGAGAACACATGGACACAGGAAGGGGAGCATCACACACTGGGGTCTGTCGGGGGAAACTAGGAGAGGGACAGAAGGGGTGGGGAGTTGGGGAGGGATAGCATGGGGAGAAATGCCAGATATAGGTGATGGGGAGGAAGGCAGCAAACCACATTGCCATGTATGTACCTATGCAACAATCTTGCATATTCTTCACCTGTACCCCAAAACCTAAAACACAATAAAACATATATTTAAAAATAAATAAATAAAAAATAAAAATAAAAATAAATGGCTGGGTGCTGTGGCTCACGCCTATAATCCCAGCACTTTGGGAGGCCGAGGCGGGTGAATCACAAGGTCAAGAGATCGAGACCATCCTGGCCAACATGGTGAAACCCCGTCTCTACTAAAAATACAAAAATTAGCTGGGCATGGTGGCACGTGCCTGCAGTCCCAGCTACCCGGGAGGCTGAGGCAGGAGAACTGCCTGAACCCAGGAGGCAGAGGTTGCGGTGAGCCGAGATCGCACCATTGCCCTCCAGCCTGGGTAACAAGAGCAAAACTCTGTCTCAAATAAATAAATAAATAAATAAATAAAATAACTCAGTGTAAGCATCCGTGTTGGAGGCTACCGCAGAGGTGCAGCTTCTCTGTCTCTCAAACTGGCTGCTGCAAATAAATCGGCCAGCAGATCTCTGTGGCTTGGCCTCTTCTAATCCTCCACCTACCAACATCTCTGCAGCAGACAGTTATCAGTCCAGGGTACAGCAGCGTGTGGGAGATGAATTGGGTTCATGACTACTGTATTCATTTTGTAGGGCTGCTATCAAGAAGTACCACAAGCTAGGTGACTTAAAACAAGAATGTATTCCCTTGTGGTTCTGGAGGCGAGAAGTCTGAGACCAAGGTATTGGCAGGATCACGCTCACACCAGAAGATCTAGAAAAGATCCCTTCCTTGTCTCCTCTGCTTCTGGCTGCTGAGAATGCGTGGTGTTCCTTGGCTTGCAGAAGCATCACTCCAGCACTCCAGTCTCCAATCTGCCTCATCTTTGTTTGGCCTTCTCTGGATTATGTGTGTGAATCTTGCCCCCCCAGTCATTGATTTAAGGCCCACCCTAATCTACTACAATTTTTTTTTTTTTTTTTTTTTTGAGAGGGTGTTTTTCTCTTGTTGCCCAGGCTGGAGTGCAATGCTGCAATCTCGGCTCACCACAACCTCCACCTCCTGGATTCAAGCGATTCTCCTGCCTCAGCCTCCTAAGTAGCTGGGATTATAGGCATGTGCCACTACGCCCAGCTAATTTTGTATTTTTTAGTAGAAATGGGGTTTCTGTATGTTGGTCAGACTAGTCTTGAATTTGAACTCAGGTGATCGGCTTGCCTTGGCCTCCCAAAGTACTGGGATTACAGGCTTGAGCCACTGCACCTGGCCTATAATCTCATTTTAATTTACCCAATCTGCAGACTCCACTTCCAGGTGAGGTCACACTCCAAGGGCACTATTGAACCCAGTACAAGCACCTGCTGTCCTTTCAGGTGTTCCTGGGGTGATCAATGCAGTGTGGAGTGCTGCTTTGTCAACGACCCCATCTGCTAGTTCTTACAACATAAATTTCTCCAGTCCATACCTCCCTCTTCACTCCAAATCTTCCAGAAGGGATTAAGTCATTTCACCTCTCCTGAAATCTCTCATCTTCTGCTTCCAGCTTAGAGATAAGCACCCCTCTCTCTAGCATGTCCACGGTAAATACTCTCCCCATGGCCACTTACCAGGTACCAGCATGAAGTCAGTGAATCCAGACCAGGAAAATGCACAGATGTCTCCTCCACCATAGGCCCTCAGCACTGCCCAAAGTGGGACACTTTCTCTTTACTCTTAGTGGTTTCTACTGGAGACTCTGTCTTCTGCCATAACCTCACCAAAAACCACCATGGGAGATCCTAAGTATCCTGCTTTTATTGCTTTTGAGATGGGGTCTCACTCATGTACTCATGTTGCCCAGGCTAGAGTACAGTGGTGCCATCGACCCTAGCTCACTGAAGCTGCAAACTCCCAAACCTAAGTGATCCTACAGCTTCAGCCCTCCAAGTAGCCAGGACTACAGGTGCAACACATCTGGCCAATTTAACAATTACTGTGTAGTCGAAGCTGCTCTCAAACTCCTGGCCTCAGGCAATCCTGTCACAGCGTCCCAAAGTGCTGGGATTATCAGCCATCATGCCTGGCTTGATTTTTTTTTATTTTTGAGACAAGTTCCACTCAGTCTCCCAGGCTGGAGTGCAGTGGCACAATTTCGGCTCACTGCAACCTCCACTTACCAGATTCAAACAATTAACATGCCTCAGCCTCCCAAGTAGCTGGTACTACAGGCACCTACCACCACGCTTGAGTAATTTTGTATTTTTAGTAGAGATCGTGTTTCACTATGTTGGCCAGGCTGGTCTCGAACTCCTGATCTCAGGTGATCTTCCCGCCTCAACCTCCCGAATTACTGGGATTACAGGTGTAAACCACTGCACCCAGCCTGATTTTTGTATTATACCAGTTATGCCGAGATGCTACTGTTGGGATGAAAGGTACATGAATGCGACTATTCTTGCAACCTCCTCTGGGTTTTCATTATTTCACAAGTTAACAAAAGAAAAACAAAGATTATGTAAGCCAGTCAAAGCAAAGCAATGCAGCACAGTAGAAATAAATGAGGCAGCTACAATTAATATCTCCATTTTCCCAACCCAAATAAAAACAGGCTTCCGCCAGGCGTGGTGGCTCACGCCTGTAATCCCAGCACTTTGGGAGGCAGAAGCAGGTGGATCACGAGGTCAGGACTTCAAGACAAGCCTGGCCAGAACGGTCAAACTCTGCCTCTACGCCGGGCGTGGTGGCTCAAGCCTGTAATCCCAGCACTTTGGGAGGCCGAGGCGGGTGGATCATGAGGTCAAGAGATCGAGACCATCCTGGTCAACATGGTGAAACCCCGTCTCTACTAAAAATACAAAAAATTAGCTGGGCATGGTGGCACGTGCCTGTAATCCCAGCTACTCAGGAGGCTGAGGCAGGAGAATTGCCTGAACCCAGGAGGCAGAGGTTGTGGTGAGCCGAGATCGCGCCATTGCACTCCAGCCTGGGTAACAAGAGCTAAACTCCATCTTAAAAAAAAAAAAAAAAAAAAAAAAAAAAAAAAAAAAAAAAACACTCTGCCTCTAGTGAAAATACAAAAACCAGCCAGGCGCAGTGCCAGGCACCTGTAATCCCTGCTACTCAGGAGGCTGAGGCAGAATAGCTTGAACCCAGGAGGCAGAGGTTGTGCCATTGCACACCAACCTAACGAGTGAAAACTCTAAAAAAGAGAATGGAATATACATTTGTCCTAGTAGCAATCATGACTAAAAAACTCCCTCTTCTTAACTTCACTACTCATATGTTGCGTTTTTTTTTTTTTTTTTTTTTGGGAGACAAAGTTCAAAGTTTTGCTGTTGCCAGGCTGGAGTGTAGCGGCACGATCTCAGCTCACTGCAACCTCTGCCTCCTGGGTTCAAGTGATTGTCCTGCCTCAGTCTCCCGAGTAGCTGGGACTACAGGCGCGTGCCACCATGCATGGCTAACTTTTTTGTATTTTTGGTAGACAGGATTTCACTGCGTTGGCCAGCTTGTCTGAAACTTCTGACCTCAGGCCATCTGCCTGCCTTGGCCTCCCAAAGTGTTGGGATTACAAGGCCTAGCCTCATTTCATTCTGAAGTAAAACTTAACTAAAAACCTGATAGTGTCACATTAGGGAAGAGATTTCATTTCTCCAGTAATGGTTTACGCAATAAAACGTAAAACTTATCAGACTGTGTATGACAACATGCCCCAGAAGGTGTAAAATTGAAAACTTTTAAATAAGCAAACATAGCACACAATATTCAAAGGAAAAAGATTTACTCTGAAGATTCACATAATGACAGGTAATACAGATTTGTGAAATTTCCTTTTTTCCTTCCTTTTTGTAGATGGTTTCACCACATTGTCCAGGATGGCTTCAAACTCCTGGGCTCAGTGGTTTTTCCTACTCAAACTAACCTTACCATCTCTTCCCCGGTGCTTTTCTTTACCGGTCCTGTTTTCGGCTACATTGACAGGTTATATTGATAGGTGTGCCCCTCCCCCTGGTAAGTTTACTTTTAGACAAGCTTATTCTAAAAAGACTAGTCAACTGCAGTAGTAAGGTGGGGTGGGAAGCAGAACAGAAATTCTATCTGTAACTGACCGTGATCAATTAATTGAAATAACTCACTCCCTTCAGACAAACCTATTTTCTTTTTTAACATATCCTTTAACTTTATTAACATCTAGGTAGTATCTGTAACATTCCTTGCTCCTCATCCCTAAGTATGCTGTTAACTGTCCATCCTTCTGGGTACAAGTGTATTTTCCAGTTTCACTTGTTAATTTCTGGATGTGTGCTGGGGACGAGAGCATATTGTGTTGTACTCACCCTGGACTACTAAAGTATGTTCTCCAGTAATTCTCTCAAAGTGGGCATATGCGAAACATAATCTCTAAATTCTTCAGTATCAAGAAATACCTTTGTTTTACCCCTGAAATCAAATGCCAGTTTGGCTGGATATAAAATTCTAGGATTAAAGCCTTTTTCCAGCAGAACTCTAAAGATATTGCTCCATTTACTTCTAGCATCCAGTGTGTCCAGTGTCAAGTCTGCTGTCAGTCTGATTCTTCTGCCTTGGTAGGTTATTTCTCTTCTCTCTCTAGAAGCCCTTATTATTTTCTCTTTATCATTTGAATTTGAAAATTTCACTAAGATGTGTCTAGGAGTCAGTCTCTTTTCATCAATCTTACTAGGTACTCGGCAAGCACTGACAATCTCAAGACTTGAACCTTTCTTTAGTTCTGCAAAGTTTTCATCAATTACATCCTTAATTATGTCCTCAGCTCCATTCTCATTATTCTCCTTTTCTGGAATTCCTATCAAACGAATGTTGGAGCTTCTGGATCTATCCTCTATCTCTCTTTGCCTTTCTTTATGAATTATCTGTTTGGTCATTTGCACTGTATCCTTAGAGAATTCTTCAATTTGATCTTCTAGACTGTCTATTCTTTCTTCAAGTAAGTCCATTCTGCTACTCAGATCACCTACTGAATTAATTTCCAAGACACCTGGATGGGAACTTTTCAAATTTCTAATCTCCTCTTGTATCTCTCTGATGCTATTAATCACACTACTCAAGTCTTCTATTTCCTGTGTTAAGTCTGCTTCTTTGGATGTTAGTTCTTCTGTCTGCAGAGCTCTGTGTCTCTCTTCTTCTGTTTCCTTAGAGTACACTGAACTCTGTTCCTCCTTCTCCTCCTCTTCCTCCTCCTCCTCCTCCTCCTCTAATCCTGAGGCCTCGTCTTCCTCTTCCTCCAGCTCTGAGGTCTCTTCTCCATCATCCTCCATCCCTGAGCCCTCTTCATCCAGCAACTCTAGCTCAGAAAACTCTTCCTCTTGTGTCTCTACGTTGTTCATCTCCTCTGGCTTAGAAACTTTTACTTCTTTAATAAATAGAAAGTTCAAGCCATCCTTGGTCATTTCTCCAGCTCTGTGTTTTGAGTCTATTAGGGTTTTACCCTGAAAGTTAAAAAACAATAAGAAAAAGAAGAGTTTATTTAAATCATTTTTCTTTTAAAGAATTAAAACTTTAATTACACTAATTTTAATATGGCTACCATTTGGACAATTAAAAAATATCTGAAAAATTGTTTAAATACTAATTGTTCTTGAAGGCCTAGGTCACCAAACAAGTCAAGTTTCCCTATGATCACAAGACATTTCTTCTGTAATATTTGGAATGAATTCTGTGAGGTCACGTCTGTTTTTTGTTTTTGTTTTTTTTTTTTTTGAGATGGGGTTTCATTCTTGTTGCCCAGGCTGGAGTGCAGTAGCGAGATCTCGGCTCACAGCAACCTCTGTCTCCCGGGTTCAAGTTATTTTCCTGCCTCAGCCTCCCGAGTAGCTGGGACTACAGGCATGTGCCACAATGCCTGGCTAATTTTTTTGTGTATTTTAGTAGAGACAGGTTTCACCATGTTGGCCAGGATGATCTTGATCTCCTGACCTCGTGATTCACTCGCCTCAGCCTCCCAAAGTGCTGAGATTTCAGGCATGAGCCACCGCACCTGGCCATAATGTCTACCTTCTTCCTTCTAGAACCTTGAACACTTACTGCTGTGTATGTGATTGACCCTCACTAATGACTTGTTTTAATGAATTGTCTACTTGTTATATGTGAGAGGCCTATGGTAAATCGACATTGTAATCTGGCTAAAGTTTACAATCTGCTTTAGGAAGATCATGAGCACACACAAAAAACCCAAGTTCACATTGACCTTTCTCCTACAGATATAACAATACGTTTAATTAAAAAAAAAAAAATTCCAATTGCAATTTACACTCTAGCCTGATGACTTTAAAGGCAAGCACGTTTTGGTTAAGAATACAACAGGCGGCTGGACGCGGTGGCTCAAGCCTATAATCCCAGCACTTTGGGAGGCGGAGGCAGGTGGATCACGAGGTCAAAAGATCAAGACCATCCTGGTCAACAAGGTGAAACCCCGTCTCTACTAAAAATACAAAAAATTAGCTGAGCATGGTGGAGCGTGCCTATAACCCCAGCTACTCAGGAGGCTGAGGCAGGAGAATTGCCTGAACCCAGGAGGCGGAGGTTGCGGTGAGCCGAGATCGCGCCATTGCACTCCAGCCTGGGTAACAAGAGCGAAACTCCGTCTAAAAAAAAAAAGAATACAACAGGCTCCGTTCAAAACTGTGTTCAAACCCTGACCCGACTGCCTCCTTTGCTACGAGTGCCTCACTTTTCCTTATGAAACAGAGTCTAAGTGCTGGGCACGGTGGCTCAAGCCTGTAATCCCAGCACTTTGGGAGGCCGAGGAGGGTGGATCATGAGGTCAAGAGATCGAGACCATCCTGGTCAACATGGTGAAACCCCGTCTCTACTAAAAATACAAAAAATTAGCTGGGCATGGTGGCGTGTGCCTGTAATCCCAGCTACTCAGGAGGCTGAGGCAGGAGAATTGCCTGAACCCAGGAGGCGGAGGTTGCGGTGAGCCGAGATTGCGCCATTGCACTCCAGCCTGGGTAACGAGAGTGAAACTCTGTCTCAAAAAAGAAAAAAAAAAAAAAAGAAAGAAACAGAGTCTAGTGACAGCACCACCCCAGGATTGTTGTAAGGGTGGAATAAAGCAAGCAAGGTACTCAACTTCTGGTGGCGTCTGCAATATAAATTTGGCTCCTAACATTCCTCGAAGCCTTCAGTCTGCTATGGAGCTTTTCAGCCATCCCACACCTACCAGGGCAGGTTTAGGGGCCTCATCTACGTAAACATTGAAAGCAGCTAATTCCTGAAATTACACAGATTCTTAAATAATTTGTTGACTCAAGTGTACCTTCTCCTTCTGGATTCTCATTCTGAACAGAGGTTACACTTGGGAATGTTGGAAAGGCAGAAGAAAAGCGTTCATCTGAAAACATGTAAAAAAATATTGGCTTAAGGCCGGGCGCGGTGGCTCACATCTATAATCCCAGCACTTTGGGAGGCCAAGGCAGGTGGATCACGAGGTCAAAAGATCGAGACTATCCTGGTCAACATGGTGAAACCCCGTCGCTACTAAAAATACAAAAAAAAAAAAATTAGCTGGGTATGGTGGCGTGTGCCTGTAGTCCCAGCTACTTGGGAGGCTGAGGCAGAATTGCTAGAACCCAGGAGGCGGAGGTTGCGGTGAGCCAAGACCGCACCATTGCACTTCAGCCTGGGTAACAAGAGCGAAACTCCATCTCAAAAAAAAAAAAAAAAAAAAAAAAAAAAAAAAGAATTGAAAAAATATATATATATTGGCTTAAGAATATAGACCTTGTCCAGGCGCGGTGGCTCACGCCTGTAATCCCAGAAAGCACTTTGGGAGGCCGAGGTGGGTGGATCACGAGGTCAAGAGATCGAGACCATCCTGGTCAACATGGTGAAATCCCATCTCTACCAAAAATATAAAAATTAGCTGGGCACGGTGGCGCACGCCTGTAGTCCCAGCTACTCGGGAGGCTGAGGCGAGAATTGCTTGAACCCAGGAGGTGGAGGTTGCAGTGAGCTGAGATCGTGCCATTGCACTCCAGCCTGGGTAACAAGAGCGAAACTCTGTCTCAAAAAAAATAATAGACCTTGGCTGGGCATGGTGGCTCACACCTGTAATCCCAGCACTTTGGGAGGCCAAGGCAGATAGACTGCTTGAGCCCAGAAGTTTGAGACCAGCATGGGAAACATGGCAAAACCTTGTCTCTACAAAAAGTACAAAAATAAGCTGGGCTTGGTGGCATGTGCATGTAGTCCCAGCTATTGGGAGGCCAGGATAGGAGGATCACTTGAGCCTGGGAGATGGAGAATGCAGTCAGCCCAGACTGAGCCACTGCACCCCTGCCAAGGCAACAGAGCAAGATTCTAAGTAAAAAAAAAAACCGAAAATCCCTTCCAGCACAGCGGCCTTTGGAGAGCAGCAGCCACAGCTCTGTGTGACCTTGAGGCTTTGGCTTTGGGCCTCAACAAGGGCAACAGGGTGATCAAGGACATGAGCAAGCCCAGGCAAAGCCACTGCCTCAGGCGTCTGACCAAATACGCCATCGGTGTGGGACATGATCTGAGACCTGTCGCTTCCCCACGTAGGAGTAGCACACCATGGAGTTGCTCGAGGTCTCAAAAGACAAACAGGCCCTCGAGTTCACCAAGAAAACGGTAGGGCCACATATGCACACCAAGAGAGAGACGAGCTGAGAACCGTCTTGGTCACCGTGATGAAACCAGCTGCCAAGAAGGGCTGAGGCCCCCTTGCCCTCTGCCCATAATAAACCCTCCACAGAAAAAAGTGCCCTTTAAATAATTACTTTTAGCATCATGCTTTAACCTTTAAGGAATCATTTTTTTTTAAAAATTGACTTATCCTTCAAAATAACTATGCCAACTATTCCATTTACACATAAGCTTTACATATTTGTATGCTTACCCCTTTTTCTTGAATTCCGTATCTTCCTCCTTGATTTATTTCTTCCTTTTGTAGGAGTACCTCTTTCAGTAATTCCTTCATAGAAGATTTTTGGCTGGCAAATTTTCTAAGGCTTTGCAGATCTGAAAATGTCTTTATTTCACCATCACATTTAAATGCTAATTTAACATCGCATAGAAATTTAGGTTCAAAATCATGTTCTCTGAGAATGTTGAAGACATTACTCCATTGCTTGCTAATACCCAGTGTTGCTGATGAAAGGTCAGCTGCCAGGGTAAGTACCGTTCCTCCATCCATCAACATTTTTTCTTCTTTGGAGGCTTTTAAAATTTTCTCTTTATTCTTCAATTTCGGAATTTTCCTTTCCTCTCTCACTTCGAGAAATTCATTCTCTCCATTCTCCCTACTCTCCCCTTCTGTAAGTTCTAAATGGATGTGGCGATTTCTCTGTCTGTCATCTATGTTGCATAAGGTTTCTTCTATACTTCCCATGACTTCGTAAATTCGTGATTCATTCTGGGGTGATTTCTTACCTTCATTACTATTGTATTCATTAGGATTGTCAGGTATTGTAGCTTTTGCTCCTAAAATTGCCTTTAGGTCATTTTTAAGAGTTTCCCTCATCTCCTCAAACATCTGGTCTTGAATTTCCATTAAGATCTTAAACTTATTCATAATAACTGCTGATACATCCATGCATTTTAAATCGATTATCGGAGCCATTTCCTCATCAGTTTCCATTAACTGCCCTCTTTCCATATAGGTGACATTCTCCTGTTTCTTTGCAGGTTTAGCAAATTTTGATTGTACACTAGACATTGACGATACATCAGACATTGTGGGTGTTGCCAAGACTGGATTCTGTTTTTAATTCCTGCAGAATGATTTTTGTTCTTACAGGCCTGCTAGACTTCAGAAACTCAAAAATTTTAAGATACGTCAATCTGAAATACAAAGAAATGAAAAATTATTTATTAAAGAATTCTCGAGAAACTTGTTAAGAATATGAGCTTAATTAAGAAAACTATGCTGTGTGTACAGCATAATATATTAATGAAAGGTTCACTAACAAAATGGGTATCTGTACACAAAGACCCAAAAAAAAATCAGAATTCAAAATTTAGCTAACTGGCCATGATGGCTCATGTTTGTAATCTCAATACCTTGGGAGGCTAATGCAGGTGGATCACAAGTTCAGGAGATTGAGACCAGCCTGGCCAAGATGGTAGAACCCCATCTCTACTTAAAAAAAAAAAAAAAAAAAAAAAAAAAAAAAAAAAAAAGGCCAGGCGCGGTGGCTCAAGCCTGTAATCCCAGCACTTTGGGAGGCCGAGGCGGGTGGATCACAAGGTCGAGAGATCGAGACCATCCTGGTCAACATGCTGAAACCCCGTCTCTATTAAAAATACAAAAAACTAGCTGGGCATGGTGGCGCGTGCCTGTAATCCCAGCTACTTAGGAGGCTGAGGCAGGAGAATTGCCTGAGCCCAGGAGGCGGAGGTTGCGGTGAGCCGAGATCGCGCCATTGCACTCCAGCCTGGGTAACAAGAGCGAAACTCTGTCTCAAAAAAAAAAAAAAAGGCTGGGCGCAGTGGCTCACGCCTGTAATCCCAGCACTTTGGGAGGCCGAGGCGGGTGGATCACGAGGTCAAGAGATTGAGACCATCCTGGTCAACCTGGTGAAACCCCGTCTCTACTAAAAATACAAAAAATTAGCTGGGCATGGTGGCACGTGCCTGTAATCCCAGCTACTCAGGAGGCTGAGGCAGGAGAATTGCCTGAACCCAGGAGGCGGAGGTTGCGGTGAGCCGAGATCGTGCCATTGCACTCCAGCCTGGGCAACAAGAGCGAAACCCCGTCTCAAAAAAAAAAATAGCTGGGCGTGGTGGCACGCACCTGTAGTCCCAGCTACTTGGGAGGCTGAGATAGGAGAATTGCTTGAACCTGGGAGGCAGAGGTTGCAGTAAGCCGAGATCATGCCACTGCACTCCAGCCTGAGTGACAGAGCAAGACTCTGATGTTAATTTAAAAAAAATGAACATACGTATCATACCAAATCATCCAAGTCTCAGGCAACTTGAATGGAATCGTACACAAAATTAAGAAACAGGTGTCTCTTTTGAATTACAGAGATTGTTAACATTAAGACCTTTTCTGAAAACCAGTTATCAAGTCAATTCAGAATATGACTTTCTTGGCCAGGCATGGTGGCTCGCGCCTATAATCCCAGCACTTTGAGAGATTGAGGTGTGAGGATCACTTAACCCCAGGAGTTCGAGACCAGCCTGGGCAACATAAACCTGTCTCTACAAAAATTAAAAAACTAGTCAGGCACAGTGGCACATGCCTGGGGTCCCAGCTACTTGGGAAGCTCAGATGTGAGGATGACTTGAGCCTGCGAAGCTAGGGCTGCAGTGAGCTGTGATTGTGCCACTGTACTCCACCCTGGGCGACAGAGTGAGACCTTGTTTCAACAACAGAATAATGTTGGCCAGGCGCAGTGGCTCATGCCTGTAATCCCAGCACTTTGGAAGGCCAAGGGGAGGATATGACCTGAGGTCAAGAGTTCAAGATCAGCCTGGACAACAGGCAAAACCTGGTCTCTACTAGAAATAGGAAAATTAGCTGGGCATGGTAGCAGGCACCTGGAATCCCAGGTACTCGGGAGGCTGAAGCAGGAGAATCACTTGAACCTGAGAGGCAGTTCAAGCCTCTCCCCTGTCCCCTTCCTTGAAAAATAAGAATCACCTAAGCAGCTAATACATCATTCATGTCAGGGCAAAAGATAGATGAAGAATTTCAGTTAGGCAGGACACAGTGTCACACCTGTAATCCTAGCACTTTGGGTGGTTGCAGTGGAATCATCACTTGAATCTAAAAGTTCAACACCAGCCTGGGCAACATAATGAGACCCTGTTTCCAAAAAATAAGCCAGGGCCGGGCGCAGTGGCTCATGCTTGTAATCCCAGCACTTTGGGAGGCCGAGGTGGGTGGATCACAAGGTCAGGAGTTCAAGACCAGCCTGACCAACGTGGTGAAACCTCATCTTTACTAAAAATACAAAAATTAGGAGTGGTGATGTGTGCCTATAAACCCAGCTACTGAGGAGGCTGAGGCAGGAGAACTGTTTGAACCAGGGAGGCGGAGGTTGCAGTGAGCCAAGATCCTGCCACTGCACTCCAGCCTGGGCAACAGAGCAAGACTCCATCTAAAAATAAATAAATAAAATAAAATGATAATTTCAGAAAATTTTCATTGAAATAAAAAATGAGCCAGGAAAAATAATGATAGCACAAAATTAAAAGATAAATTATTCCAACACTTTGGGAGGTGGAGGCAGGCAGATCATGAGGTCAGGAGTTCAAAGACCAGCCTGACCAACATGGTGAAACCCTGTCCCTACTAAAAATTAAAAATTTATCTGGGGGTGGTGGCACATGCCTATAATCCCAGCTACCCAGGAGGCTGAGGCAGAAGAATTACTTGAACTTGGGAGGCAGAGGTTGCAGTGAGCCGAGATTGTGCCATTGCACTCCAGCTTGGGCGACAGAGCAAGATTCTGTCTCCAAAAAAGATTATTAGAATCTGGAATTAAATTCTAAAAAAACAGCCACACAAAAATCATTAAAGTTTCTTATATAGAGTTTGTGTATATTGATAAGCAAAAGCAATGTTAAGCTTGGTGGCTCATGCCTGTAATCCCAGCACTTTGGGAGGCTGAGGAGGCTGGATGATCACCTGAGGCCAGGAGTTCAAGACGAGCCTGACAAACATGGTGAAACCCCATCTCTACTAAAAATACAAATACCCTAAAACAAAATGGGTATCTGTACACAAAGACCTGAAAAAAATTAGAATTCAGAATTTAGCCGGGCATGGTGGTGGGCACCTGTAATCTCAGCCACTCAGGAGGCTGAGGCAAGAGAATCATTTGACCCAGGGAAGAAGAAGTTGCAGTAGTGTTCACACCACTGCACTACAGCCTGGATGACAGAAGGCGGACTCCATCTCAAAAAAAAAGAAGAAAAAACTTTGAAAAACTAAAACAAATAAAATATTTTTAGAGACAAGAATATAAATCAATAGTATACTTGTGAAAAGTGCCCCCAAACCAGGAGTTGGGTATATAATCAAAAAACTATGAGATCAGTTCTACCTATCAGAGGTGGGAGTAGTTAAACACTTCAGAAAATTAGAAGAACCAACTATTGGGCTGGGCGTGGTGGCTCATGCCTGTAATCCCAGCACTTTTGGAGGCAGAGGAGGGCAGATCACGAGTTCAAGACCAGCCTGGCCAATATGGTAAAACCCCACCTCTATTAAAAAACACAAAAAATTAGCCGAGCATGGTGGTGTGTGCCTGTAGTCCCAGCTACTCGGGAGGCTGAGGCAGGAGAATTGCTTAAACCCAGGAGGCAGAGGTTGCAATGAGCCAAGATTGAGCCACTGCCCTCTAGGCTTAAAAAAAAAAAAAAAAAAGGAAATATATATATATATTTTTTAAAGACTGGGTTTCACCATGTTGGTCAGGCTGGTCTCGAACCCCCGACCTCAGGTGATCTGCCCACCTCAGCCTCCCAGAGTGCTAGGATTATAGGCGTGAGCCATCGTGCCCGACCAGGAAATCTATTATTAAAGTCAGAAATAATACATATACTCTCTGCTTGAGAATCTACCATTAGGAACAAAACCACCTGTACACTTAGAAATATATGAATAGAGGCCGGGCGCGGTGGCTCAAGCCTGTAATCCCAGCACTTTGGGAGGCCGAGGCGGGTGGATCACAAGGTCGAGAGATCGAGACCAACCTGGTCAACATGGTGAAACCCCGTCTCCACTAAACATACAAAAAATTAGCTGGGCATGGTGGCGCGTGCCTATAATCCCAGCTACTCAGGAGGCTGAGGCAGGAGAATTGCCTGAACCCACCGGGCGCGGTGGCTCAAGCCTGTAATCCCAGCACTTTGGGAGGCCGAGACGGGTGGATCACAAGGTCGAGAGATCGAGACCAACCTGGTCAACATGGTGAAACCCCGTCTCTACTAAAAATACAAAAAATTAGCTGGGCATGGTGGCGCGTGCCTGTAATCCCAGCTACTCAGGAGGCTGAGGCAGGAGAATTGCCTGAACCCAGGAGGCGGAGGTTGCGGTGAGCTGAGATCGTGCCATTGCACTCCAGCCTGGGTAACAAGAGCGAAACTCCGTCTCAAAAAAAAAAAAAAGAATTGCCTGAACCCAGGAGGCGGAGGTTGCGGTGAGCCGAGATCGCGCCATTGCACTCCAGCCTGGGTAACAAGAGCGAAACTCCGTCTCAGAAAAAAAAAAAAAAAAAAGAAATATATGAATAGAAATTTTAGTGCTGAGTTTTTTGTGACCAAAAAAAACTGCGAAACGATGCCCTGTAGTAAGAGAAGGGCTGAACAAATGATGGTTTGTGCACATGACTGGATTATGTATAATATAATTATGTATGTAAAAAAAATTAAACTTACAAAACATACATTATAATATCCACTATGTTATATATGTATATACTATATAAATGGTGCATACAATATACGTTTAATGTACACGTAAAAATTATATTATACATAAGAGTGTATTAGATTGGTTAAGGATGTCTTTGATACCAAAGGGAAAAAATGGTGCAGAAAATACACAGAGCACAATACCATTTTGTAAGCACATATATAAAAACCATATGTACAGTAAACACAAAAAGATTATATTAGTCAATTATATTAGGAGAATGCAAATCAAAACAGATTCCAGTGTTTGAACACCCTTATTATAGCCAGTGCAGGGGCAAATATCCGCCCTGGCCACATTTATAGTGATCCTGGGATTTTTAGACCTTTTTGGTAATCTGGCCGGTGCCGTATCATCTAGCACTACCTTTTTTGGGTAATGTGTTTTCCAAGAGTCACTCTACATAGTACATGAC